TTCAATTTATTACAGCTTCATAGCTGTTCTTCAAATTGTCTTGCATCTGGGTTTGGGGTCTTTCTTGATAGCTCTTCTATATATCCCCACCTTTGCAGGATTCTTCTGGTAGTGTTAGGCAAGGGAAGGGCGTCATACTGTTTTTGTTTTAAATATTCTCATAAGTGAGCCAGGGTAAAACTGAAGACAATCACTGGTGTCTTGATGTTGTTAAGATGAGGACCCTTCTACATCAGTCCTCATCAGAAAGGAACTTTGGGGTCTCCCAAATTCTGTTACTCTTGAAGAATTTGCATGGTGGTCCATGCTAGACAGGAATTTTGGAGGTCCACTAGACTTGGAGACGGGAGTCTGGACTCTGCAAGCCTGTCCAAAGCTGTTTATTCAAACATGGTTGTGGTTTTCCTCCAGCCCACACCACTAGGTTTGCTATTAATGGCAAAGGTTGGGTGCATCACCCTTTTTGGAGTCCTCCACAGAAATTCAGGATGCTTTGGCGTCGTTTGCCAACTCAGAGGTGTGCATGCAGTAGTATTGACCTTGGTACATTTGGATTTCCAAGAGAATGCCAGGAAAAGGTGTTTGTGTTTGTCCTGCCAATCAGCCCAGGAGGCACAGAACTTCCATGGTCTTGGCAGTGGTACCAACATTGAACAAAGTCTTTCAGGACCAGTGAACAATGTAATAAAGGTCAGAGACATTTAAATTTCTCTAGCTAATTCTAGTCCATAGCACTAGATAAGAATAAGGTTTGAAATTACATTCTCCTTTCAAATTCATAGTCTAAGGGTTGGTTTAGTTACATTTTTGTAGCACAGAGAAAATACTGTAATAATCTGATGTAGCTGGAATATAGTAAGGTAACCATGACACTTACAAGTAGGATGGTAATTTCAGAAATGGAAGAGAATTTATTTCATTGTTATAGGAAAGTTGTGGTTTGGATGTCTTCCTGCAGCACAGGTTTCTTTTTTAGGAATTCATTGATCTGGATGTGAAAATGTGTTGTATAGTCATTAGGAGAGTGATTAAAGGAGGAAGAAACTTCTTTGGGAAGCAGTGTACCTAACAACTGCTGTTCTCTGCTGGTTGCTTGCATCAGCATTAACCTTTGCATTTCAGGCACTGAGAGAGGACTAGGTGTGTCTGTGAGAACAAAGTTTCAAATGATGGTGATGTATGTCCCAGCTGTGCAATGGAGGCTAATTCTGACCAAATGTGGTATTAGAACTACACTGTTAATAAACAGTTGCCAAATTAGTGATGTTTAAAACAGAAACCGGCAGTGAAAATGTCATTTCAACTGCTGTACCTTTTTTAAGCAAAACTCCAAGTTTTAGGCAATTGTGGGTTCTGTAAAACTTAAACTGACAGAGAGTGAAGTAAAGTGGTTCTTAGGGTTAACTTCTAGTATCAAAGCTAGCCTCTGCTTCAGCCCATGAAAGCTTTGATCATCATGAAAACCAGTTTTAATTATGTCTAGATAATAACCCTCATAAAAATCTATCCTCTGAAGTAAAGAACAAGATGAGTTTTTACTATTAAATTCTGATTGCGCTCACATTGCACCAGGTTTAAGGCATTTTAGGGCTCTTTTCTTCTTTATACTGTTATAAGAGGTGAAAAATGAACATAACAATGTTTGTGAATGGTAGTATATTATTCGTTATCTGAACCTCTAGTATTTCCACAGTCAGCAAATACTTGAAAATGAAAATGAGCATGCATGGGGGTAGTCTCTTAAAATATTAACACATAAAGACACTAAAAATTATTCTTAATATCATAACACATCACTTCTCTAGACTGGAAGAAATTCACAAGCTTGTTATTTTTTTTTTTTTTTTTAACCAAGCTTCCTGTGTTGCGATTAATACAAATTGCTCCAAGTCTAACAGTGGATGAAGTTTGAATGCTGAAATATACCTTGTTGACATCTTCTGCAATGTGGTGGTTCCTAAGCAGTGATTTCATAACTATACCAAAGGGTTAAACAAAAAACCAAAATGCGTGACAGTTATCATTTTTTGATGGCATTCTACACAGCTGCCAAACCATACTTCAGATTACAGTATTGCAGATTTTATATTCCCTGTCCCAGCTTTAGCAGGCAAAGAAGATTGCTGTACATTTTAACAGGATAAAACCTTGATTTTATTGTAAGAAGTTGTAGTGAGATGTTTGGAAAAGTTTTATAAGTCTTGGATGACTCTGATCCCTTGCATTCCTCTCAGCCTTTCATGGTGGCTAGAACAAATTCTGCCTTCATTTAAAGAAGAGACTTATGAACTCCTAGGAGGTTCTTCAGTGAACACCAGAGCAGCAATGGTGTCAACCCACAGTGCCCTCCCAAGCAAGCCTTTATCTTTGCTTTCCTGCTGCTATGTGCCAGCTAAATCAAATATATCATATATTTACAGACAAAGCTAAAGCCCTTAATTCTTGATTTTCTAACCACATTCCTGTACAGCTCTGGAATCTTTTTTGTGTCACGGACTAATCATAAAGGTCTTTCCCTTTCCTTTGCATAACTGGGACACCAGCATGCTTTACTGAGAGGAAACTGTTTTCTTTACATTTCACACATCACTGGCAGTGCCAATTTTGATCGATTCCTTTTTAGTTTGATTGTTTTTTTGCTGAGTGGCATAAAAGATAGCATAAAGCATGAAGTCATCAATATTATGGCAAGATGCAGAAATATACCCAATGAACATTTTACTTAATGCTTTATGCTGTGGTTACACTCAAGGGATTTGAAATATTAGAGAAGTCATGGCTTAGTTTCAAACTATTCAAAGACCTTGTATTTTTTACTTAAAGCTTAGTTCAGATGGCAAATCAGATCTCTTTTTTAATCTACTTATCCTCTCTAGCACTGGATAGAGGGAGAATTGCATGTTTTTCTTTATGTAGTCAGGTTTTAACTACTGCAGTTTGTTTCATGTGTGATAAGAATACACTGTTGAATCACATTCAGCTTGGCATGCACTGTAACTTTCCCAGCAGAGCTGCTGCTCACCCAGTCAGTTCCTGCTCTCTGCTGACACACCACTTCTTCCACCCCACATTTCAAAACGTTTTAAAGCTCTGTGCCATATAAGACTTGTATTCTATTTATGCTAATTAAACCACCAGCTTATACCATTATCAATTCTACTAGCTTTTGCAAAGCATCTTTTTCTTCTCTTCTCTCCTTAGAGATTTTGGAGGAAGGTGGGGCTGCTTCTTGGACTTTGACAGAAGTTTTCTTGTAGTGTGCAACTGGTACAGTCTTGAGCAAAGAGAAGAATTTTACTTAAAAACTGCATCAGCCTTTGAGTGACACTTCTAAGCCTTACCACTGAAAAGAACCATGTAGTCACTGCATTTTTTTTCTGCCTGAAGTTATAATAAGCTGGCCAAAAAATTAGCCCAGGCAAATTTAGTATTAAAACAAGATGGGGCTGTTGACTACCTTCTCATTCTAATATAAATTATTGAAGCAGCATTGTTCTTCATTTGCTGAAATTAAAAGTGCTTCCATCTGCAGTGGCAACCTTATGCTACTCTTGCTGCTGTGTACTAATATAAAGACTTATATTAACTCTAAGTTTTTTCTCTTATGAGAGCAAAAAGAAAACCCCACTTGCTTCTCTGTGACATGTTTGTCTCAGTTTATTTCTTTACCATATTTTGAATCACGGCCAGCTGGAACTTCATGTGAGAAAGCTCATTATTTACTTGTATTTTTCTTATAAGCTAAATGGAGGTCTCTGGGAGCTTGCTGTCATCCTTGATATAACCACAGGGAACATTTCTTTGGCTTTGAACAGTTAATGATGGATTGCTAATGAGAGCACAGATGAATGTGCAAGAATACTTCCTAATTTGCTCATCATGTGCAGCATACCTGTATTTCTAAGGAGGGGAAGAGGTGAAGAGAAATATTATTCAACTGCTCATATGCACTGTCTCTATATATTGTCAGTAATGATGTCACTAGAGGATTATGATCTATTGGTCTTTTAGCTATTTTAAGAAGCATTTAATGGGTAATTTTTAGTCATTAAGTTCAGGGATATTGCAAAAAGGTTAATTAAATAAATATTAATTGGGTTACATAACTGATTTTAAGATTTACAATAGCTTGTGGATATATCTTCTTGGTTCAAATATATCTGAAAAAAATGCAAGATTAAATATCAGGAAGGCTTATTCAGGAGAGTTTGTGAAGGAAAGCGTATGGCTTGTTAATCTTGCATTGTGTCTCTTCAGGTATGGAGATAGATAATAAAATATGGCCTTACTCTTCTGCCCAGTGCTGCTTCTGCTGCAACTCTGCTTGATTCTTGCTATTTGTCTGTCCTCTTTGTACAATTGAATGGGAAGGAGGGGGGCAGAAAAGAGAGGGAATGAGGAGAGCTGTGCCTCATTCCCAGCTGTCCACAGCCCGAGAAGTTGCCTGTGTGCAGGGAACTGCAGTATTTACTGTCAGAAGGAGGAAGGAAAGTGCCATGGTACTGCAAGTCTCTGACTTGAAAGGAGACGCAACACATCACAACAGTACCCTCTCCGTTTGTCACTGCTTTGTCACACAGCATTCCTGCCCATCCATTCACATGCTGCAGTAGGAAACCACCTCAAAACACATCACTGAAATTAACTGTCCCTTTTTAAATTTAGGAACACTCAGATCTCTCCTCCTGCCTTCAGACTTGCTTTGATAATAGTTTGATGTGTTACCTTCCAGACCAGGTTGCATATTAACCATCCTTAACCTCATAAACCCCATCTTTGACACCTTCTGCTTCATTTGCATCTCATCTGCTGTGTGGTGGCTTGTTACAGGAATTTGTGCTGGTGAAAGTAACCCATGACAAAAAGTACTTCTGTGTAACTGTTGCATCACAGCTGGAGGGCTGTAAGCAGTACAGGGGAAAATACCACCCAAAATAACTTTGTGTTATTATGAATGCATACTGCTAAATAAATAACCCTCTCATATTGTATTTTTGAAGGGTGAACCAGGTTTCATTGGTCCACAAGGAGAACCTGGGTTGCCAGGGCTGCCAGGAACAAAGGTAAGGGTAATGGGCCAGTGCTCTGGTGTGAAGCCCCTTGAGCTGATGTCAAATTCAACTTTACTCAGAAAGTAGCAGAGACTGAGGTTACTATTGGAGAAAATGTGAAAAGTCATGGACCAGTGCTATGAGATAGATATACAGATATTCATGTTGGTGTCCTCAAAAAATGTGAAGGCAGATGTAAATCATAACTTTAATAAGTCATCATTTTTCATGTTAGGATCCCCAAGAAGAAACTGTATTTTCATAAATGTGGGTTTTTTTTTAGGAAAATGGCTTGAGCGTGTGTGCAGGAAGTAGAACTTCGATGCTATGCACCAGATTTTGAAAACACAGATAGACTAAACCACTGTTTCTGCTGTTGGCTTGGTTTCTTTGGTCCTGTGAGTTGGTGATGTGCTATGGGCTGCCCAGTATTTTGTGATATCCGTGTGTCTGTTGCAATAGGGTGACAGAGGAGAGGCAGGCCCTGTTGGGAAGGGTGAGCGAGGTGAACCTGGAATCCCTGGACCAAAGGTCAGTCTGATTTCTACATTGGAAATGTTTTGTAAGTTTTACACCTATGAACATGCCTTTGCCTACTGAAAAGTAGAACAAAAGTTGGTGAGTGAACTTTTAAATGAAGATGCTGTCAAATGCTCTACTGCAGTCCAGAAGACAATGGCAGTTTTGTGTTCACAGCTGTGAAACTGCAGTCTAAATGGACTTTTATTTGGTCTACAAAGTAAAGACACTACCTACATACTCTGTCATGGAATTGGCCTAATTCATTCCAGCTGAAGTACTGACCTCCAGGTCCCTAACTTTCAGTACTGAAGCTTGAACTCTTCGACCACTGTAGCGATTGAATGCAGAGAAAATCAATTTTGCATGCTGTTTTCTAACTCTCTAAGAAAGAGATCAGTCTAACTACTTTTAGCATCGTCTTTATATTTCCCCTGGTGTTGATATTACCACGTTTTTCTTTCCTAATGCATTTTGAAAACAATAAGGTTAATTTTGCACTCCTTGCCAGTTAGTTTGTATTTACCTGAACTGTTGGGAGAAGAAGTTGTGGTAACACTATATTTTAATCTCCTTCTGTTAGAATATTTAAGTAGCTTATCTATCTTTTGGCTATCATTTCTCAGGAGCAATGGGATGACATATCTCATTCCTGAAAACCAGTGATAACGATGCCTGTCTTTACTAATGCCAATACTACTTTTCCTTTGGAAGGGTGGAATCTGTAACCATTGCACTCTGGTGTTAAAGAATATATTCATCTGGGTGCTATTAAAATAAATGCCTTTAAAAATTCATCATCTTGGTAATATCAATATAAAGTATTTCTGCTGTTCCAAACTGTAGTTAGTAATGACTAATTTCTTTTTCTCTGCACTCCCATTTCTCTATCATTTTTCTCCTATCTTTCCTCAAACAGGGGAAAACAGGTGAACCTGGATCTAGAGGCCCCAAAGGGTCAAAGGTTAGTGGTAAAGAAACTGTCTTTAGGAGACTAATTACCATGATGAGTTTTAGGATCAATTATTTGTAACATTTATCTTTAAAAGAACCTGTAACAATCTGCAGTGTTCTTTATAAGTGAAACCTTATGACCTTCAATTTTAGCCAAAAAAATTAGTCAAGTCACATGGGTTTTGAATACTGTGATTCTAATCCTTTTTCTGTTATAACATTCATTCCACTCTGCTCTTGATTTCTTCATGCAAATTGGTTTCTCTCTGTGTCACTGATGTGTGTTACTCCTCCCACGTGCCAAGACTCAGTGCCTGGCTGTGGTGTTATGGGTTTGAAATAGTTTTATGGATCCAAACTCTGGTGAGCTGGGAATCAGAGGAATTCCAAGCACTGCAGGCTGAGATATGACGGTCAGAAGTTCTACAAAGGCAGTTGTTGATTGTGTTGCTGTTTTACCTGCTTTAAAAAGACGACTTTGTTTATATCTTTCCACCCATTTATCTTTCTATAAATATAGTTGGTTCACATATATGGAGAGATAAAATATATGTTTTTTGTATGACTTTATCTGCTGTGCAAATACTGTTCCCACTGGATTCCTTCATGTTCTATGAGGGATGAAAATGTACTTGTGTAGGTGGTTAATGACAGGTCTGCTGTCAGAATAAGGGTGACAGGACAGTGTAGGCTGGTGTGATACTGTTTGCAGTACTTGTAAGATCCTTGAAGAGTGGCCTTAAGTGCTTAAGGATGTCATTAAACAAGTGCCATTTAACCTCATTCATTCCCACCAGAAAGAAGTGTTGGAAGGCAAGGGAACTGATGAGGGGAATTAAAGTATCAGAGTGAGAGCAGAAAAGTAAATCAGCCTCTCATTTGACTACAGTACCTGGGCACCTCCCACTGCACCAAAATCATAAAGATATCCCCTTAATTCCCTTTTTATCAAAAAAGTATATAGATTTTCATTTTACCTGCATGAAAATCTGGCCCACAGGAGTCAATCTAGTGGCAGGGAACTTAATTTTTCAGCAGTTCCAATGTTCACTAGCTTCTGCCAAAGCAGCACTGGAAGGAAAGGCAGATGGCACAACCTTTATTATGCCCTGCCACCAGCCTACTCTCCATATGCCTTCATTAGCTCTATGAAGGTTTTCTGGTTTCTCTTACCAGAAAGCTTTCTGTTCTGTTACCACTGGTGAATTAATCATTCTTTTCCTGACTGTTACCAAAGTTCTTTAGATGTCAACAGGAGCAAAATTTGCAGTCCTTACCTATATTAATTTTGAGTAACATTAAAATGAAAATATAAGACTTTGCTATGAAAGTCACTGTGAAATGAATTGTGGATGCTGGGATATGAATGCATACATGTTTGAAATTCCCTCCATCATTTGAATCATTACATATAACCAGGACTAAAAACCTTGTGTGTAAGCTGGTAATGATCTTAAGCCTGTCACAGAAAGGGCGTTAGGAAACTCTAAATCTCATAGTACAGTTGTGTTTGTAGGGGAGGCAGTGACTCAGACCAGGGAAGTTCAGAAGGTTAGTGGAGGTGTAATCACAGAAAGAAAAGATTATATATTTTGAAATACACATTTGAAGATGTTTTTGCCTAGTTTCAGACTGAATAATTTCATTTCTCTAGTATTGTGTTCACGCTTTTGATAGTAGTGTCATTAAGAATAGGGGTGTTGCACAAATTGCTTAATTGGTAATCTGCCCATTATTGGTTCTTTGGGATTTTTTCTATTGCAAACCAATACATTACTCTAATATTCACACAGAACCAAATGCATCATTGTCCATTCTACCAGTATGCAGATTTTTAAGGATTTTTTCCTTTCATTAAATAAGATTTACAATCTGTTTAGGATGAGAAACCCTGTTAATGTAAGAAAACATATTTAAAAGGGAAGAACTATGTGATATATTGTCAAGTGGCATATCTGTTTTTTTCATGTATCATTTTTACACAGGGTGATACAGGTGAGAGAGGTGACACAGGATCTGCAGGTCCACGGGTAAGTCTACTTCTCATCTCAGCTCTTTGTTTTGTACCCTTAGGTTCAGTCCATGTGAACTGAAATTGTAGCAGTAATTCTAGTTAGAACTCCGGGTGAAATTGGGCACTCAGCACTGTTGGAACATGGTTGCTAACTGACATTAATATGACTGACACCAGTCGCCACTATTTGAAGCAGTCTCCAATCCACACTCTCTGGGCAGGATCTTACAAGCCAGGTGTTCTGACATTGTTCACTGCCAATACAGAACTGGAGTGTAGTAACATCCTTAAATGTCTTTTCTCAGAGGTTTTATGTATTTCTTTTCCCACTGCAGCACAAGTCACTTTGTACTGACTTGCTTATTTATCTTTATTTAAAAATGTTTTCCTTTAAATTCTGTGTTCTGTAGTAGTACATTGCAAGTACAGTTAGAGTCCAACACCACACAGTCAAGTCAAAGCATGTGTCAGTAGTTAAGATTCTAAAATAGTCTTTAGCAGTTATCTCACAATTGTAATGGAAAATGTATTACAGGGACTACCTGGACAGAAGGGTGATCAAGGTGCAACAGAGATAATTGATTATAATGGCAATATCCATGAAGCTCTGCAGGTATGCAAACCTAACAAGGCTGAATTGGCTTAGTCTGGTCTGGGGAAATATCATTTGACAGCATTGTATTTCTCTTTTGCCTAGAGCTTGAAAACATTTTGTGTGCAAAATTGTTGAGCTTATTAATCAGGTATCACTGTCTATATTTGGAAACCAGGTTTTCTGTGCCAGAAGAACTGTTTCCCTGATACAAATTAGCTGAGTGAATTAGTTTCATGTTCCCTGGAGACTACTGACATCACCTAATCAGGATGAAACGAATTCATTGTTGGCTTCAGTGTTTAGTGCTGAATTAATGTAATAAACCACATACACAGGTTCAACAGAAGTGTCTGCTTTTCAATTCATGTATTATAATATTGATAGTTCTTTGTTTTCCTTGTTTTCCTCCTCCTCTTCCTGTAAAATGCAAAGAGCAAAATATTTGAGATTTGGAAACAATATAACACGGTTCCATTAGCAAGCTGTGGATTCAATCAGCAGCTTGAGTACATTAAGTAGACCAAGCACCAGTCTTACTTATTCATTTCTGGAAAACCTATTTTGACTGGTGTGGAGGATTAAAGTGGGGTTACAAAAAGAATGAATGAGTGTTTGCATAAAAGCAAAGGACCAAGATGACATATGTCATTGCAGTCAAGGTGGTTTACATTGCAGCATACTCAGATGCAAATTCTGTGCAGTATAACTCCACCAAAGTGAATGGCTTACTTATGTGAAACTGAAGACTGGATTTGGCTCATTGTGCATCCGATCACTTTCTCACTGAAGCTGCTGAACTTTTTTCTTACATTTACGCAGTGGGAGTGGGTAAATGTCTGACCAGTCATTCTGTTTCCAAGGCACTTTCAAAAAATAAAAAAAATCTCACTGCCTTTACTAAAATTTAAAAGCCTTGTATGTCACTAAGGCTGAGTCCATTCTTTCATTGTGTCCGTGGGGAGGTCTGCATAGACATGTTGTGAGGCTCTGCATTATGTTTGCCTCATTTGGTCAGCTTGTAAGGGACTTCAGACACACAGCTTTCAGTCATCTAAATCCCTGTCCAAGTTACATGCCTAAAGTAGCCTGAAATTCATGTGGTGTATTACCAGACAGAGATTTAGCAGGGGCTTTAGCCACTGTATCTCCTATATTCTGTCTTTGTATTGTAACTCTGGCATGAGTGTTACTTTCAAGTTTCCTCAGAAAAACTGCAGCATATAAAGAAGCCTTAAAAGTGGACTAAAACCTTCTACAGTACTTGAAACATTCTAGAAAGCCATTATCCCATTGCAAAACGTTCCAAATGTCATCGCCTTCTGATCCAGGGCAAAAAAAAATATATTAATGGGAATGGCTGTGCAAGGAGGGTGTAAGTAAGATTATATAGGATCAGTCAAAAATATCCTTGCAAAATCCAGCTCAGTCCTTTCAGATGGCAAACATCCATTCCTAAGTCTACTGGTGCCAAATTCTTAGGGGCTCTGAGATTTGCAGTTCTCTCACAAAAGCACATGAGAACTTCAGTGCTCAGCACTGGACTGTGAACTTGCACAAAATTTGGCCTGCAGATTTAAGAAGTTGACAAGAGTTTGCAAGGTATGGACTGCTTATCTCATGCTGGAATTCAGTAATAGATCAAGAAGCAGTCTAGCAATTTAGTTACTTTGCTGTGGGCCTCGTATTCAATCCCATGTACAATCTTAAAATTGTCATCATGGTTTGAGCAAGACCCCTGCTGAGAGTATGTGGCTTTCACTTGGAGGATTAAATACAAAATTCATTTCTGTCAAAATTGCTCTTCAGACCTATTCTGCAGAATTTCCCATGGCAAAAAGCAGTAGTTTCAAAAGTTTAACCTTCATAGGAACTGCAGCATTAGATATTAAAATATCTGCCACTGTAAAGGGATCCATTGCTGTGAACATGTAAACAGTTCTTTGCAATGGTTATTTTAGGTTCTCATACCTAGATATGCTCATACCTGAACTTTTCAGTATTTTTAGAGTTCAGGATATATTTCCACTCATATGTTGAAATGGAAATTAATATGAGTATATTAAAGAATAGGAGTATATAAAAGCTATGTGTTAGAAAACAATTTTGTTCAGGTACTTTGTATTGAGTAGGCTCCAGATCTTTGCCTACAGTACGTATTGTTGCACTGAGATGTGGAGATTATTTTACAGCTTGAAGCAGAAGATCTGCAAATTTTTATTGCACATTGGATAATAATTACAAAAGCAAGATATTTCTTTTTCCATGTAGGCCAGTAAGTTCTTCACATGCAAAAGAAAAGTATGTGTGAGCTGCAATATATGGGGGTTTTACTCTGTTTAAAAATATAGACAAGCATTTAAATTACATTTTAATACTTTTCCACTTGCTTTTAGATTCTTTGGCAAAAAATGTCCCTTGACAGGTCAAGGTATTTTGCCTTCTTCCATGATGAAAATATCCTTTGTCTTTCCAAGAATTCAAAGTAGAATTGTAAAAACATATCCGGGTGGTAGACTGACAGTTTTGGATTTAGAACTGCATTTTTATATGAAAATTAATGTTACAACTCCACTCCAGGAGTCGTATTTACTAGTTAAAGTATGGTGCAAATCCTGCACATTACAAAACATAGGGCTAGTCTTTTCGTCGACTTCAGACACCAACCCATTATGTTTTCTTACCTTTTTGAAGCATTCTGCTTAGATTTTGCTTTTTAGTCATTGTTTATTTGATCTCTTGCATTGTACAAAAATACTGCCTTCATCTAATTCCAACAGAAACCAAGCAGCTAATACAACCACAAGAGCTAAAAATAACAGGGGTTTTTATTTGTGTTTTTGAAGGCATGGTGTCTCTCACATGCAGCATAGGTTCTGTGGAGATAATAACTGTAGCAAACAGAATTATTTATATCATTGTTTAATTCTGCTACTGACAACTCTTGTTAATACCTTTTGCCGACAGAGGATTGCCACCCTGACTGTCACGGTAATTCATTACTGTTGCATGACTTACTGTGCACCGTAGAACTTCTTTGTGCATCAGCATACTCATAATTCTGCTAACTAGGGACATGTCTTCATTGGATGTCACCCTGGTTCATCATAACGTGTATTGACTTGTTTGCTTGGTGTTCCCATAGCAGAGGACCCATTGTTGAAAGCCAACAATGGAACCAATTCTGCTCCTACTGAATTAATGGCAGAACTTCATTTAAGTACGAGACTGGGAAAGCACATTCTTTTTTGTTTCAAGTTCTTCTCTGCAAGATTGCTGTTGTTGTATTTTCCCATCTGGACATACCCTTTCTTTGTATTAATGCAGGGGATTTTCAGGTGTTGTTGTGGGTTTTTTTCTAAAGCATCCTCACTATGTACCATCCAGACCAGTGTTTGATACATGACACTGTGTCCACAGCCTGAGGAAAAAATGAAAGAAATGCTTATGTCTTATTCCATGGCAATTTCACAAAGCACTGAGTATCCCCAGATTCACTTAGCATCTTTTAGCAGAATCGTCTTTAAAACTGGTTGAAGATTTCTCCTGGTCTCAGATTGTTTTGGCTCAGGTGGTGAGGGCTGGCAGATATGATTGGGTTTTGGTCTCCCTTCCATTAGGGGAAGCAGTGCCATTTCATCAATAGGAGCAGAGGACTTTATTATAAAATATGAGTTGTACTGTTATTTTAACACTTTTTTTTGTGGTAGTGTTGTGGTTGTTGAGACCTGTCATAAGTTAACAACTTGTCCATAACTAGTCTTGGTTCCTCTTGTGTTAAAAATCTAACCTGTTTGGTTACAGTAACTGTATTAACATTCACCCTTTGCTTACATGCCAGTTCTGCAGGAGTTTATTTAAAAGCTGAGAGGTTTGTGTGTTTCTGTTTAGGGACCACCAGGACCACCGGGACCCCAAGGGCTGCAAGGGCCAAAGGTGATCTTCCTTACTTTACTCATATCTCAAGGGTGGAGTGTTTTCTGGGTTTTTTAAAATTATGTATGTGTACAGGTAGATGGAGCCTTCCAGCACAGTTTTTAAACTGTAAATCTAACAAATACAGCATGTTTCCAACTTTATATCCCAGATTCTTGAGATGTAGCTTTCCAGAACAGGTGACTTGTTTAGTTGCCACACAGAGATGCTTAACTAAGGACCAACAAAATTAATTAGTAATGAAAGAGCACAGAAGCATCTCACTCAGGGATCAGCACTGAGGTTACTCCCTAGGACTTTGCAAAACAGCCACAGAACCAGACAGTGGCTCCCGTGCCTCAATTCTGGCTTATTGGGAGTGAGGTGGGCAAAAGTGTCTGCAAGACCACTGACCACCATGTGAGTGCATGTGAATGCAGCTTTTCAATCACAGGGGCACCCACCCAAATAAGTGCAGTATTGTCTAATGCCAGTAAAAATTACAGTGTACACATGTGGGCAGGAGCCTGCCTGGAAACCCAAGCCTGCCAATACCACCTGGCTGGTGCTTATAAGTAGTACAGAAGGGTTAGTGAGCAGCCCACACAAAGGCAATGAGTACCATATGCTGCCCTGTTCTATAAAATTTAAATAATAAATTTGTCTATATTCAGAAAAGAAGTGTTGAAGTTAGTGGACTCTCCCTAAATGCTTTTAAACTAGTTGAGATTCTTATCCTATTTCTTAAATACTAGATACTGCCTCTTCTCCCAGTGTCTCTATGTGATTCCAAGAGCAAATATGTGCATCTACAATGACAATACTAGACACTTCAGTTTTATACTTTAGCTAGTATTTAATATAGAAATACATCACAATACACATCTACATTGTTCTAAGAAATAGTGAGAAACAAGGTTCATTCTGTGTGAAAATTCATAATAGAGTATACAGTTAAGTGTGCAGAAATTGCTTTTTGCATTATCATCTACCCAGCAATTCTGCAACATGGAGTATGTAGTAAAACAGAGAAGTTGGAGTGTGGAAGAGGTTGTGTTCCTTTATGTAGGTGAGCGTTCTCATTCAACACTTACAATGTAAAGCAAAATTCAACATCACAGGAGTTTGTTTCTAATGGTATTGACTCCTTGCATCACCATAACTTGCTCCCTTGGAGAATGGTACCCAGGAGCTGGACATAAGACAATGTGGTGAATGTGAACTCCTTCACTAGGTGATGTATAATAGGGGAAAAAAAAACGTGAAGTCTCTCTCTACCTTACGTAAATTGAGAGGCATGATTCTGTATTTATTCTGGTAGCAGGCAAAGTTTCCATTGGATTGGGGTCCTTTCACCCCTTGGATTTTGTCATCTTTTTCCTTTCTTTTTATGCATTTGTCTGACCATTATACAACCCAAAGTTTGTGTAATGTCATAATCAGGTGGGCTGTTTATTTAATATAGATAATAAATATATGCTTTTGACAGAATATTCTCTAGCTTTGTTGTCGTTAATTATGGGAATTTCACTGGCTCTTTCCTCTAGTGTCTGGGGCAGTTGGGATAATCCAGTTCTGTCTTATCTGTTGCAGGGTGAACCAGGATCCCCAGGAGCTCCAGGAATTGATGGAGAGCAGGTACATTTTGTTTAAATCATAGAGTGAAAAACATGTGGGCAACCATAGATTGTTTTAAGAGATTATTTCCATCGTTCCAAATGGTAACTTTGCTTTCATAATCTAAGTATTATGGTTATAATAATTAATAAAGATCATTATAGTGCTCCTGCATACTTTGTGGTCTAATAGTGTCTGCATTTTACTAGCAAAGATATAACATGCCCATGACTTCTGCTTATTAGGATCAAAGCTAGAATTCTGGTGATGTCTCTAATATTTTACATGACTTACTGAATAAGTCCATATTTTAGGGTCCTAAGGGCTCAAAAGGCGACACAGGTGATCCTGGAATGCCTGGAGAAAAGGGAGGAATCGGACTGCCTGGCCTACCAGTGAGTATTAAAAGTTAATTAATTATTTTAGCAAAATAATGATTTATTTTTTTTCTCTCTTTCATTATCAGAAATTTCCAGCAGTGCTGATAAATTGCAAATGGGACAGAAAGAACTGGGGAGAAAACTCTGAGATTGTTTCTCAGCAAATCTAGGAGGAAGTATAAGATTGACAGAACTTTTTATTCCACTTACAGTGAAAAAAAAAAAAATATACCATGTCAGGAAGAAAGAGATTCATTGTCAGGCTGACCAAGGTTGTACCTCTCTTGTAATATATAGGACAGCTTGGGCAAGGAGAAAGGAGCTATGCTTTGAGTGGAAATTTCAGGTGACTTAGACTGAGGAGAGAGAAAAAAATGCATGAATATTTATGGAATGCATTCTTCCTATTTTGTGTGTATATATATCTTTGTATAGATTTATATACATACACATGAAATTTATCAGAAAAAATATAAACAATTTCAAAATTGTATCCATAGTACAATATAATGAATGGGGTTTAAGGAATTGCCATAAATGTCATGTCACAATTGATAGCTATCAATATAAAAGCATATGTTTATATTAGTTAAACATTATTTTTAAAGTACTGCCAGAATTTTTTAAATGGATTTCCTTTATATGTGTGCTGTGTTATTATTTTTTAAAATTATAATTATTTGCCAATAAATATTATAATTTCTAGATTGGTTGCTAATAAGATTAAAGATGCTTATAAATGCTGTTTTGTAATGATTTTTAGGGAGCCAATGGCATGAAAGGCGAAAAAGGCGATGTTGGTTTGCCTGGTGCCCAAGGTCCTTCAGTAAGTCTTAGCAATGTAATACAGAGGTCCAGAAATGGTTCTCCAGCTTCTGATTCTGAGCAATACTTGATATTCATGACTGATCTTTCCTGAGAATAAACAGACTTCTGGTCATAGAGCTAAATACAGTTTAAGAAATTTTAAAGCTATAATTCCTGTTCTGTTCTGACTGTGAACAAATCCTGCTCACTTCAGTCAAAGCCTTCTGGCTCTGTAATGAATCAAAAGATAAATGGGGAAGAAAGGAAAAACCCAAACAAACCATAATTTCTCTCTCAACACCTTATACTCTGGGAATCTCAGACAGTCCAGTGAGAACCAGACTAGACTGACTTCAGATATGTGACCCAGGGTAGTAAGCTAGTTGTATGAGACCAGACATTCTCCAGATTTTTTTTTTTCAAAGCATTGTAAAGGCATTAAAAAACAAAGAAACAACAAAACCAAGCAAGCCCAAAACCCCCAAAGAAATTCCTACATAATACCTTTATGGTGTGGGTGATTTTCATTATCAGAGCACAGTAAAATGAGAGACTTCAGAGCAGAGGTTAGTAACAGAAGCCATAGCTCTGAAAAGCCAAAGAGGCTGCCCTGTGCCATCACAGGACACAGGAGGCACCCCTCACCTCTGAGTTTCTTTCTATGAGAAGAAGATTAGTTTATTATAAATTAATTCACTGATTCATTCATGCTGTTCTGCTTACTTTCACTTGAAGGAAGACTTACAGTTTTCAGGAGATTTCACAGGTGGTGGAGTCTGTCTTACGGTTCAAAGGGCTTCTTGTTGCTGCTCTTGCCACCACTGACGGCTGCTACAGCAGTGCATGAGTCTGGAGACCTGAATTAACATCCCTGCTGCCACTCTGCAGGTTATGGCAGCAACCCATTGGGATTAAATCCAGGAAGAGAGGGAATTTTAAGCTGAATATATCATCAGGAAATTCTTTCCATGGATTTGTTGGGAACATGGAAAGCCAGTGCAGAATATGCGTGCACTAAATGCTGAGCAACCCGATTACCTATTTTAATGACCTCAGAGAATTTTTGGTACAAGTGGGCTAAACGAAATAAAAGGAGAGACAAAGGGCAACTTTGAAATTATGCCAAAGTCCAGCTTGAATTTAGTATATTTTCCAGTCGTCAGTGTTGAGGGGGAATAAAATAACACATCATCACCTTCTAGCTCTGTAGAATAAGTAGTACAAGAGAGAGCTAAAGAGCACATACCATAAAATATTAAAAGTTCAAGTATCCCTTCTCAGTACTGTTTGTTTTATGGGGATTTATTATTTTTCCCCCATAGTGTCTTGAAGTGTATCCTAGACCCTAGGAATAAGAATCTGGAGACAGGCACACTGCCATATGGCACAGGCAGATCTGCACTTTGGGTATCCTGTCTTTCAAATCAAAATAATTCCTAAAGCCTTGTCTAGATGCGTTGTCAGTGTTCACTGTTGCATAGCTATTTTTGTAAGTGCTTGCCAACAAGGGTCAGCCTGACTTCTGGTATTTTTGTGGGAGTTCTTTGCTCTGCATGATTTAATACCATTGTTTTTTATCTGCAGATGATAGGACCACCTGGACCACCAGGGCCACATGGTCCTCCAGGCCCCATGGTAAGCTTGGGAGGAGCAGAGGGGCTAGAAATAGTCTATGCCCTCTTGCCACTTTATTGCCTGATTATTAAAAGTGCTACAAGAATATGTGGCCGTTGAAGAGGGGACCTAATTTGGAACCCTTTTATGCATGTCTTAAAATTCTTAGGAGGTGGAGAAACAATAACAAATGTTATTGTTAATATACTAGTGGTCTGGTTCCTCCTCACAGTCAGGTGCTTACTGTTGCTTCTTTGATAGCTGCATTTCTTTTGAGGGTAAAGAAATACAGGGGTAATTTGTGTCCCTACAAAGCAAAAACTCAAAAAAATTGTGGCGTGCTTTCGTAATGAAGAATGTTACTTTTATTTTCAGGGACCTCATGGACTGCCTGGCCCAAAGGTACGTTAATATCTGTTGTGAATATATGAGCTCTTTATGTCCGCAAAGTGTCATGCTTTGCTCTTGAATGCATGGAGCTATTTTTTGTCATACCTCATTTTATAAGCATTTCTGATATTTTTAAACCTTAAAGCAGATTTTAATATCAGCAGCTTAAAAGCTTTTTAAATTTTCTGTGATTGTTTCTGAGTAGTATTTCCCCTCAGCATCAGCTGAGTCCATTTTTTTAATGAATATTAGGAATGTGGCACTAAATTATTTGGCTTCCTGTTTATGGGCTAGCTACCACTGCACTTGGAATTACTTTGGAATACAGAAGCATGTTACAGGCTTGCAAAATTAAGTCAGATAAACTCGTCTTCATTTATGCTTTCTTGTATCTCCTGCTTCTTCCAGTCTCCATGGCCTTTGTTAGGTGGCCAGTTCCTTCACATGTTATAATGGTTCACTACCACTAACTGATGTGCGCATTTTCGTGTTTTCCATACTGGATTAATGCTCAGACAGGTCTGCAATACAATTTGAACATTTTCTGTAACATAAATATTCTTTAGGGACTCTCTCAGCCCATCAGAACAGCTCAGGAGAGTGGAAGTGCATTTTGGCAGAGCTGGAGTATTTTAATTCATGCTTTAATTCAGTAGTCACCAGTAAGCTAAAATTCAGCATGACACTGTATTCATTAAGGCCAGTGGTCTTGTCAGGCATGATCATTTAAATCACTGTGTCTCCCTAATCACACCTTTCTCAAAAAGTAAGGAAGAGGAGGAAAGGGTGTTTTTGTTTAGTTTCAGGGATTTATTTTGGGTTCTTAAAGCTGCAAAACAGAAAATCACAGGTTTGACCCCTTATGAGACTGTTACCTTGGCTCAAGAAACCTAAGTCATAAATCATTTTTTGAAATCAAGTATGTTCCATTTTAGCACCAGCCCTGCTTTACCTCAGGCTTTTGGCCTGAGACTCAGGCTTTTGTGGGATTTCTCAGGTCTGTTTCCAAAACTTCAGTGTTTCCAGTGCTACTGCTCTGAAAGTCAAATTGAGTCAAATAGAATAAGAATGAAGAAATGGCTACTTGGAGTGCAAAGCAGGCAGATGATGTCTGGAGTTACTTAAAGGAGCAGACTGGGTTCTACTGAGATTTTTTTTTTTTTTAATATGAATATAATATAAGGTAATATAATACATCAAAGGGAAATCTACCAGTGAGGCAAATGGGGAGCAGCCTGGATGAAATACCCACGTATTTCTGTTTCCCAAAAGAGGCAGGTGTGGTCAATACTCTGACTGAGCAGCCCTCCTGCTGATGCAGTTTTTCATTATGAGAGAATGATTTGTTGGCAACTCTGAGCCCAGTATTATCATCTTAGTGATGTTTAGTGTAATAATCTATGCATAATTTAATAATCATAAAAAGTGCCATTTCTTACATTGTTAAAATTTCTGTGTATGAACACAGAATCTGTGGACCTCCCAAGTAGCTTGGCGTTGTGTAACCTGTACTGCTTCTTTTAACTTGTTACTGTTTGTTGTGTATGCTTAAAGGTTTAAAATATCTTTATGTAAGATTTTGCTGCAAATTCCAGTTTACTGTAAGGAAAAGTATAGTTTCCTTCCAAATGTACTTCTCAGGAGATCACACTCTAGAAACCTACAGGCTTACTTTTATGAATATTTTCTTTCAGTCTGAATTATCTGCATAGAGTGGTTTATGGGATTTGAAGAATTTCCAAAACCTCCTGAAAGTCATGCTTAATTCTAACCATCTAACTATAGTAATAATTATTAGGAAAATATTTTTAAAATCTGCTACCCATAAGTTTCATGTCGGTTTTTTTACACAGATTTTTAATCTCGAGCAGACACCTCCCAAGTACATTTGCCCACTACTAAATCAGTATGTAAATTGCCAGTAAGCTGAGAAGGTTGAGTTTGTTTCAAACTGGAATTTGCAGCTACTTCTGAGTCTGGCTTCTTCTATCCCAGCTTAAATACCCATTATAGCACCAAAAATTTGGCATTTATACTTTTACGTTTAGGGTGAACCAGGGTTAAATGGTCTTAAAGGATTGAAGGGTGAACCAGGTCAAAAGGGTGACAGAGGGCCCCTTGGTCTTCCAGTAAGTAAAAAAACCCAACTATTAAATTTCAGTGCAAATCACAAGCATCTCTTTCTACTCCTTATGAACAATTCTGATTTACTCAATAGCATAGACAGAACATACCATGTTGGAGCAGAGCATCAATCTTGTTTTGTTTTGTTTTGTTTTGTCCCAAATCTGTGCTATCATCCCAAGTAATGTCCTGTAAAACCCAGTCCTATCAGGATATTTTTGTTGTTGTTGTGTGTCAGTTGAGAGTGTTCAGTGTCACAAGGATGTCATCACCCCCATTACATTAGTCATGCTGTTATTCAAGTGTTGTATGGTGTTTCCATTAAAAAAAGGAGTCTTCCCTATCTTCCATCTCCTCAGTTATTATTCCTCTTACTGCACTTCTGCAGTTCAAATTGAGAGGTCTAATTGAGGAAAGCTAAAAATTGGTTTAGGGGATTTAGTTACATTTTTTGGGGTGTTTTTTTGTTTGTTTGTTTGTTTTTCCCTGGATTATTATTTTTGCCTTGCTCTTGATAAAATTCCCATCCAGGGTGTTCGGCATGAATTTTGTCTTTTAAAAGTGAGGAAACTTAAAAATATAGAAACATCAGAGTTCTTAAAATTTAGGTTGATAAAATAGAAAATACTTTATGTGTTTGAAAGCATGCTGAAAAGGCAGCTTTATTTTTTTCCTCAGAAAAATACTTAATTTTTCCTCTTTGGTGTTGTTATGATACGAGAATTGCTCCCAGTGCTGACATTGTTAACAGTAAAATGGAGAAAAAACACTTAGTTGACTCAAAGGAGCACAAAACTCTCTGATTAATATTTTCAAGAATTATGTGCAGGGCCAATGGACAAGGTCAGCCTCAGTGAGAATTTGAATTTATTTTGAGAAAAATAAAACTCATTTTCACACTGGCAATTACATATCACTAGAGAGTGATGCTCTGAAAATCGCTACAAGGTAGAAGAGACTCCAGAACAAAATACCACTCCTAGGTTTTCCAAATTCACACAGACCTTGTCCTGCTCCTGCTTTCTAAAACGTCATTTTCAGGAGCAAAGTCGAAGCGCTTCCAAAAACCGCTTTTTTGTTGAGTTGGCTGGAGATTGGAGTTGGGTTTGGCTAGCTGTTTTAGGAGGGGTGTCCCCGGCAGTGCTGTGCCCCGCGTCCCGGCCGCTGCTCTGTTGTTCGCACGGAGCCCACGAGGGGTCCCCCCGGCCCCGAGGATGCTGATGCTCATCGCTCCCCGCAGCCCCTGCTCGGAGCCGGGAGCCTAGCGGGAAAACAGGAAATGTGATTGTCTCCCGGGCTCTTGGAAATGAATGAGCCCATTGTGGTCAGGATCCAGATTTTGTTGGCTGCGTAATGCAGTATTCTTGCACTTAAATATTTCCTATCGCAGTTAACACACATTTTTCTTCCTTTGTGTATACTGTTCAGTATTGTCGCTGTTTACAAATCAGAAAGCACGCGAGTAATGACAAAGTAAATATTTGTGTATGCAGGCTCAAAAACACCCTAACATCTGGTGTTTGTAGCGCTCCTATAGCCTGACAATATTCTGCTCTAATATACTTGATGTGAGGGCAGGGGTGGGTCAGTGATGTTACACTGAAGTGAGAACAGAATCAGACTCTTGGTGTTTCATGTGAATTTTTAACTAACATGCTGTAGTAATGTGATACCCACTCCAGAACCCTGTCACAGCGTGTACTGTACGTTTGAATTGTGTTTATTCATCAGCACCACTTACTAATCTCACGTTCTTGTCATTCGTGTCGTGCCCATCATCCATGCTTCCACCTAACCACACAGGGAGCATCTGGCTTAGACGGGAAGCCAGGAGCCCGGGTGAGTCCCTTGTCTTTCTGTGTCCCCCTTGGTGACTGAGTCCGTGTGCCCCCCCAAGCCGTGCCAGCCAAGCTCACTCACTGCACACAGGAAGGAAGGCCAAATGCTGCGGGCATTTTCCCAGCTGCGTAAGAGGGGGCTTCAGGCAGGTTCCTAGGGCAATATGTGTGGGAAAGAGAATTAAATTCTCTGTAGAAGGAGCTCTGAATCTTAAAAAGACAGCTTAGTTTTGATTTATGGTTGGACAAAAAAAATCTGCCTTGGTTGGGTTGCTAGTTTTCCTGAGTAAGGTTAGGGATTTAGCTTACAGGAGAACATAGCTGTTCAGTGCTAATATGGAATCAGTGAAGGAGATGCAGATGTGCTGGGGTCCATCTACACATGTTGTTACATTGCACATCATAGATGTTAAATCTTTGCTTTCTTGAATGATAAAGAAGTCTATGCAGTGAAAGAGTTATATCTTGGAAGTAAGATTCTAATTGATTCTTGCAATAGGTAAGTCCATCTTACAAGTGGACATTTCAATGTAAAGAATAAGCAATTTTCTTTTTTTGATCCTTCTGTCATCTTCCAATCCAAGTTTAAGATCTTTGTAAATCTGATTGCTTCCATGGATGTAGTGAACACCAAACAGAAAAAAGACAGTCTGCCTTGTAACAGGAGAGGTTATAGGTGGAGTTTTGAAAGCCAAATAGGTTGCATCACAATTAAATCCAAAATTTCAACCAGTGAAGACTGATTCCATGTTAGTTCTTGTGTACAAGACAGCTATTAAAACAAAAGAGTTGTAAGAACAAGCCCTCTCTCTTACCCTATTTGTTCCTTTTTGTAGGGCATAGATGGCCCAGTTGGTCCCCATGGCCCTGCAGGTCCCAAAGGAGAGAGAGTAAGTATGTGTACCATGTGCTTCTCCCTAGAAAGTGACTGCCACAGTGGAAAAATGGGATATGTGGGCTCATACTGTGCCTACATGTTACAGAACAGTATCTCTCACCTGCAGAGGAGCAGCCCAGAACTGTATATGTGTTCTCCTTACACACACATTTATCTGTTTGAGATTGACATTGTAACTCATTAACTCCAGGGGAGCTGGTATTTTGAAATGAGTAATCAGTAAGAAATTGACTGGACTTTCTAGTTCACAGTGCCACAAAGAGAACATGATTTTCATTGGTTTCATTATGTTGTGCAAATTGAGAACAAGCTGGTACAAAAGAAGATAGTGTGATCTGATACTTTAAGAATGCAATGGCAAAAAAAAAAATTAAGTATTTCTCTCCTATATTCACTTAAATGTTTTTATCCAGGAAAAATATCTCCAGCCTCTGTAAAACTTTAATTTTTTTTTCTTAAGCTTAGAAGACAGGAGCCCTGCTATTTAATTTTGAAATATTAACAGTAAATTTTGTTCAGTGGAAATAGGATAGGAACTCTAATCTTTCACTATAAGCCTGTCACCTTTAGCAATACAACCATCAACTTTTACAACAAACCAGAAGATGATACCCTAAAACCTCTGAAGAGCTACTGGTCCAGAACTTTGTCTCTTTGACTTCCTCACTTTAACAGAACAACTGTGCTAAAACAACTTCAGACTAGCTCTAAAAAGGAGGACACAGCCACATGGCAGAGGTCCAATAAGCTTCATCTGAGAAAGGTAAAATTTATTTTTACAGAGGTGTGTATTGGGGGATAAATACAAGACATGCAGTACAGTCCAAATTAAACTGCAGCAGGCTGCAGTTACCACTCAGGCTAGTTAAGTGCCTGAAGGACTTGAGTGTTTTTTGTTTTTCTAGGGATTACTTATTCAATTCTTTTTTTTTTACTTCAGTTAGGACAAAATATATCTTCTGTCAACTCCATGAAAAGATAGTTTAACATCCTCTAATATTAAAAGATAGTTGTGCATCCCCTAATAAATACACATGCAGAAGTATATAAGAATACCATACATTTTATTCTTGCATTATGACCTTTTATATTGAAGGACATGCATGTGACCTACCAGTTGAAATGTCTTTGACAATGAAATATAATATAAACTCTTCCTTTCATCTGTGTAAGACAGCTACTAATGTTTTTTTCTTGTGAGGGTATTCAAGGTCGTAAGAAGGCACACAACTGGATTTGGAATAAGCCCTGCTGTAGCTCTTGAAAAGCAGTGGCTACAAAGGGGATGGGAATTGCTGTGATGTAAATCAGTAATTGCATGAGCACAGAAGAAGAACTTCACAAAAATAGAGAGACCAAGGTGTGCAGAAAAATTCTACACACCCACCATTTTCTGTGGGGCTAAATGAATGGGAGGAAGTTCACAAGACAGATGGAAGGCTTTTTCCCAAGCAGGCAGCCAGCAGGATTGTTGCTTAAATTGTTCATTTAATTATTCAATACCATTTGAGAGGAGAAGTTGTTTGTAGCATAGTTATGTAACAGGTGCACAGTGTTGATACATGTCTCATTATTTAAATAACAAATCATGTATTTTTAATGCTGTTTTACAACTTGCATTTGCAACTGTTGAACTTGTTTACATGAAAGCAGGAGGGGAAATATTTTTGTCTGCAGATTTCAGGATTTACTTTTTAATTAAAAACAATGCACAGGGCCAGTGTTCATGGGTAGGATCCCGTTTTGTCTGTATTGAGAAGAAAAACCTTGGGCCAGTATAAATCTAGGAGGGCATTAGGGCTGTATAACAGAATAATCATGAATTCATTGTTGCACAGGCTGCATTTGAGGTGATGCTCAATTACTCCTCTGAGGTAGACTGTTGTGCAAATTAGGGTGGGCTGTTGATTTTCAGTTAACTACTAAAATAGAAAATGTCAGATCGTCTTTATACGAAGCCTGTTTAGACAATGACAAGGTAGAATAAGAAAATCACGACACTATAACATGGTTTTATGGGTTTTTTCATAGAAATTTTAAAAGTAATTAATAATGTAAATTAATATAATTTATGACAAAGGCATCTATTAGTTCTTACTAATTTTCAGCTATTGGAATTACATATTGCCAGGTGCTTAGAGAGATTTTACTGAGACCATCTTTATTAAATAAAGGAGTAGGTCATAATAGGCCTCTGAATCTGACTGTGTGCTTATTATTTTCACTTACATACTGTCTACAGTGAAAGGAAAGTAGAGAACACTGGAAAACAGTCATCTTCAGCTACTACTGATGAAAGGGGACATGTAAGCCTGAAGGGTGATGACAGGCATAATGTATATCCAGCTTCTTGACCAGCTAAAGGAATCTGAGAGCTGGAAATAAACAGTTTCTTTTAATTTTTTTTTAATTGATAACAAGGACCTGGTTTGATTTTAGCTTTAATATGTATAGCCTGTGCAGCACTGTCATCATTACACACAGTTAGTACTAGTAGGTAAAGTGCATTCTCTTTAATTTGGTTAAAATATTTCTCTACCATGACAATGTTATGAAATCTCCCTGTCTATCCTAATGGAGACACAGATTATTCTGCTTTATTCATGCAAATTGTAACTCATATTTGTCCACAATTCAGGAGACTGAAGTGAAATAGGAGGCAAAAACATAGGTTATGGTTTCTGTTTTTTGGACACTGATGGATTGTCTCACAAAAAAAATTTAAAACAAAATCTTGAAGTTTGCCGAATCTGCTACCCTGAAGGAAATTGTGAAGGTTGAGGACAGTATGCTCATGACAGTCCATTAATCTCATATAATCCATGAACATTCAGAACCTCATCTGATATTCCAAGCATGTTTCAGCATGTGCTTTGTAGTGGAGGCAAAAAATTCTGAGATACAGTTCTCCAAATATATTCTTACATAACAGATGTGATTATTTCCTAGACTGATACATTCAGTATTTTTATGTCTACCATATGTTAAGCAGTGTTATAAGCCTATCTTGAGAGGACTTTGTACAGTCATCTTGCTGTTGAAGATTAAAGAAAAAAAAAGATGCTTAACTGACCTTGGAATATTTCAAGTACTGGTCAAAGAGTTTTTTAGCTCTTACCTACATAGGTCAGCACATTAGTTTCTTCTTAGCAGAAAGCTTGAAAGCTGCAAGGGATTTATTGTTTTTAAAATCAGCTGAACCTCCTATTGTCCTGCCAGGGACAATAGGAGCCTAAATGCTGCTCAGAATTACTCAGAAATTAGAAACAGAATCCAGAAAGACCTGACACTCCGCATCTCATTACCTCTAGACTAAAGGAAGTGCACATCTAAGTAATATTAAGTATTTAAAGTATTAATATCTGTTTTAAATACTTAATATTAAGTAATATTAAGTATTTAAAACAGATCAAATGTCAGTTTCTTTGACAAACTCCTTATTGCTGGGATTATTCAACCACAAGTTAAGGTCCCATTTTTTCTGCTGCCTGCCTTTTTAGTATAATTCAGTCAATGAAATTTAGACATAGCAGCCCATTTTAACACACCAGAGAATTCTCTCATGAGCATAAGTACAGCAAATGCTAGGATGAAACACAGCACCTGTGCACACCAAGAGCCTTGCAGGAAGCCCTGTGTTAGGGCATGTTCAGCAAAGGGGGTGATGAAGGGATCCAAGTCACCCTGCATAACAAATCCAGAGCAGGAGCTTTCAAAACTGGAGCTGATCGGGACTTTTTTTCTTCTTTTATTTCATCAACACTTTGAGCCATTTAGTTCTCACCAGAGAGAAATGCTTTTCTGGTGGATTTAATTCAGAAGAAAGAACAGTCTGAAACAAGACTGCTTTCCACACTTCTTCCCAGCCCTGACTTCCTACCAAGCTGACAGGGACCTGTGCTTGCAGTTACACAGGCTAGTCCTGGCTGGCTTGGCAAGCTTAACTTCATATCAATCGTGGTGAAGAACAATTAGAGGGCAAAGGTGATTATTACTGTCAGCCTGAAATTCCATTCGTCACCTTGAAATTCCGTTCTGTTTGGAAAAGTTTACCCTGTGTTAAGCTTGCAAAATTACTTTGGCAGCACCCCTCTGGAAACTGGTAATTTTCCCAGGAATTTTAGTGCAGAGTGAGATCAGACTTCTGGAGTAATCTCTGTACTTGTTTGTCTTGCATATTATTACAGTTGTTTTGATTTTGATAAACCAGAGTATTTATATCACTTACCTAGAATCCAATAGAGGATTTAGCAACACAGCACAATGCATAGGATAATCTTCACAATGTCACTGTTAATAGCATTGCCTACTTAAATCAAGATTTGACTGACACATTATTTTTGCCTGTCACTGTGTTGCATCTCAGCTGCTATGTGTATATACAGCTTGATGCTGTATATCCTCAGTTTTCATTACAACTTCGTATTTTTGCTGAGAGAAACATTAAGCTGTCAAAAGCTTAAACTTGACACTAGTGCGTGTTCAGTTGAAACATATTTTCAGTTACTAACGTATTTAGAAATGAATGTGATATCATATGCCTAAAAAGTCATTCTTCCTAGAAAGAATGCTAATACACACCTTCTCTTTCTCCCTTAAACATTTAATAAAAATAAATTAGCTTGGATATTTTTCATTCAAAATACTTAGGAATGCATAAACTTTAACCTAAAGCACTTGGTAGAGATAATTTCTAAGATAGCCAATATTTTTGTTTGCTTGTTCTGTAATCTTTTCTTAGGGTGAGAAGGGAACTGTAGGTGACCCTGGGCCCAGAGGACCATATGGCTTGCCTGTAAGTTGCACAGAGTTTGTACATACTGCACTTTTCATCCCTCCCTGATTAAACTTTGTGTGCTTTTTGACTGATTTTCACCTAGCAGTAGAATTAGTTGGAAAAGGCAGAGATTGCTAATAAACCCTGACAGTGCAAGGTCAGTGTTCTGTATCACACTCTTGGGTTTCTACCCATGCACATAAAAAACAGACCTGCCATGATCCAGCAAGGGAGAGGAGATGCCGAATGCCGGTGCTCCCTGTTCAGCAGCCTTTGGCCATCAGCTGCCTGGGGACCATGTGAGAGTGCCAGGAGTTCAGGAGGAACTGTGGAAAGCTGTGAATTTCTTAATGTCATTGCCATTATGTTTTTGTTTTGTTTGTTGCTTCAGAGATCTGTTTTGTTTTCGTTTCTGTGCAGTCTACTCAGAAGTTACGTGAGAATTCCATTGTTGCTCATTTATAGGTGAAATTATTTGTTTTAAATCAATAATTTTAATTAAGCTATCCATTTCTAAAATATGAGGGATAACTTCCTTTGGTCTTACAATGATATCCCCAATAAAATCAGTTGACTTTCCCTGTTTACACTGCTAATGACTGGGTCAGGTGTGTACATGTACACAAGTCTGTTCTGTACTTTGACGCAAGGAAAGTCATGTAAATGTGCTTGGCCAGGCACAACCAGCCTTTCCAGGAGACTTTTAGTGTTTCCATACCCTCTCCAGTCTAATCCATTTGATTAATTAATTTAAACTGGAATACAGACCTGTGGTTTAATTGGATCCATTTAATTGGATCAGGAGTCAGTGGCTGGAGACAGTTTTCAAGCTCTGTGGAGTGTTAAATTAGCTTGAGGGTCACCTTTGTGGGTTATTTTTTTTTTATCCTATTTATGTTTCCCATTCCTGCAAACTAGAAATAAAATTTTATAGGTTTATGGCTTTTTTTTTTTGCATTTTTAGCTTGCTCCTGGAATCTGCCTGCAAACAAAATTTTAGAGTCAAGCAAAATTTTGCAGCCAGGTTATCAGTTCCTGGAAATGTTAAACATGGGCAGCAGTGTCCTTGTCTGTGGGAAGCTAATGCAGTTCCTGTGGTTCTTTGGCAGGGCAAAGACGGCGAGCCTGGCCTTGATGTAAGTAATGTGTGTGACCAGGGCGCTCTCAGGGGTCGGTAAGAGTCTGCTAAGGAATCCCTTATGAGCACAAGCCCTTTGCTGCCCTTTAGTGTGCGTGCAGGTCCTGCAGAGAGTGTGCTGAATGCTGCCTTTGCACTTTCTCTGTGGTAAAGAGGACAAAGATTGTGTAATGTACAGCCCTTATCGACAGACACCACCAGATAGTAGTGCTTAGCAATACAAGTACTTGGTCCTTCGGTGAAAAAGCTGAAAAAATCCTTGCTATAAAACTTTGTAGAAGAACAGGGGGTCACTTAGCACTTAGTTAACTAAATTTATTCTAATTAAAGAGAATCATTCCGTAGCCTGTAAGGGATGTGTTTCAAAACATAGGCTCTTTCTTTGGCATGCTAAAAAGACTTACTGCAAGTCCTTTTCTGTCGTCCTACTCTGAAATCCCTAACTTGGAGGAGTCTTTTTAGGAATGCACATATGCTCTGTAGCATGGATGATTGCTAGTTTGAGTGGTATGATTTCTTTCTGTAGCTGCCAAAATGTCTCTACCAACCTCTACCAACTCATCTTGCATGCTCTTGTGTCCGTGCATGTGTCCACACATAATATATGTACAGAGCATGTAGTGAAATCATCTTTTTAGGTTTTCCAGGAGTATTTGAAAATTTAATCTGCATGTTAGTAAAAGTCAACCTATCTTTGTCCGCTTTGTTTTTATAGGGTTTCCCTGGTCCTCGAGGAGAAAAGGGTGATATAGGAGAAAAGGGAGAAAAGGTGACCACAGTGTTCATAAGTGTTGTTTGATTCCTTAACTAATCAGTTCTGCTGTCCTTACACTATAAATTGTCCCATTAAAACTTACCTTTGTCTTTACTGTGTGCCAAAAGGCAAGTCACAGGTATCCACTAGAGCAAAATCATGAAAAACCACAAATTTGTATGTGTATGTACAGGACTAGAAATACCAGCATGTCCAAAAGCACAGCATTTTTTTTAAGGCTAATTTTCTCCAATCCATCCTGCACTTTTTAAAATCCTGAAATATTTAATGCAGACATTAGTTATTGTGGTAGTGATTTTATACTGAAGAGCCCAGCTCTGTTCCCTGGCAGTATTTGCACACTAGTGGTTGATCCTGGTGTAGCATGCACGTACATGCTACCTGTTCCACACCAAGTGTCTAAGACAAGAACTGTTTGAATTTTTACTTTTGGTAATGTTTTATTTGCAGTTAAGGACTTTGTGATACTCGTGGATTTAAATTGAATCATACATTCTACCATTCTGGTAAACCAACTGGACAGTGAAGTTAACAGAAACAGTCTGACTTCATATTCAGTGTCCAGACACAGTGACTTGGAAATCTGTTTAGTAAAAAGCAATGAAGGATGTGTCTGTAGAGAAACTTCATGAGCAAATCTCTTCTATTTCTATCCAACACAAACCCCAGCTGCTAAAATCGCTGAATTAAAACTCACACCAAGCCACTTCATGTAAAAGTCCATACATGCAGCAGATGATTTTTCCAGCTCAGACCAATGTTTTTGTCATGCTGACATATGCAGGGTTAGGCTGGATTAATTGCTCATTATGGTGTCCTAAACAAGAAGCAGGGCTAAAAAGTCACCATGAGTGTTAGAGTTCATCTCCATTTCTTTATCTGGTTAGGCAAAACACTTCCCAAGAATGCATTGAAAAGGGTATTATGAAATTCATCCTTCCCTTTTGCCCCTCGGTATATTACTTGGTATATTTTGAGCTCAGAGGTCACTGGTAAGGTGCTGATTTTGCAGAACAGTTGTTTAGGCAGGTGCTCCATGAATATTATAAAGGCAGTGTTTGACCTGGCAGAGTAATCACAATGACTGGTGAGCCCTTGCTTGCTCTCAGAGTGCAGGTCAGCCACCAGTGAACAGCTTTTCTCCTTGAGAGCAGCTGTCAGTCTAAAGGTGTAGCTGATAACTGCCAGCTCGGAGATGTGATGGTTAAAATGCTCTTTGTGCTAAGTGGGAGTTACAGCAAGTGCCAAATTGAATGAGCTCAACAGTGTGTTCTCACCCTGGGATACATTCAAAGAGTTGTGTCCAGAAGATAAAAATAAGTAATTATGTCTCCCTAACCAGTTCCAATGAGGTTGCTTGAATACTGCAGGTGGTCTTCTGAGCCTCACAGTTCAAGAAAAAAAAAAAAAATAGGAAAAAAAGAAATTTACCAAGCTGGCAGGGGTCTGGGGCAAACACAACCAGGAGCAGAGGGTGGAGGAGGTGGACTGGCTTAGTCTGACAATGGGATGGCCAAACTACGCAAAAGGGGAGATAAAAAGATGGTAGAGCAAAACTCTCTGGGTAATGGCAAATGGGGCAATGCCTGACCATAAGGTGCTCCTGAAAAGTTCAGAGGAATTGTTCACAAGGAGGCCAGCACAGCACTGGGACAGTGAGTCCAGAAAAGGGGCTGAACCCTGCCCAAGGAGCACTGCAGAACCTGGTCTGGTCTGAGCTGACCTGGGATCATCCTTTTCACGATGGGAATCTTAGGCAACCTCCAGAACTCCCTTTCAGCCAGACTTTGAGTCTGTGTTTCCATGTACAGTTAGAGCAGATATGCAGAAAAATTTCAGCCACCAGAGCTCCAGAAGATTTCTGGAAGAAAAGATGGAAAGCTGGTAAAAGTTTTACTTATACAAATATTATATAAAAATGGGACAGATGAGATTCAGCACTCAGGATGTAAAAATGTTTTTATGTTCCAGAGTCCAGCATGTTGCTTTTGGATATTAGACTGTGATTGCCAGGGACTGACTAGATAAGTCAAACATGGGATTTCCAGTTGCAAGGGAGTGAGGGAATTTTATGTGGGAATGGTGTGTGGCATGGCTCCACCCTTTTCGGAGTTCCATTGTGATTTAGGTTGCCTGTGGATACTTGTTCTCTTGAGCCTGCAGGACACATCTCCTAGGAACTCTGATCCTTTATCCCCCTAAAAATTCATGAAAAGGCAAACACTGTTTACTGAGGAGAATGCATGGGATAAAGTAGTTAGCAAGTCTGATACATGTTTCAAAAAACACTTTTGTGTGGGCTTTCAGAAAGGATTGACAGGAAGTCTGTAGGGCAGAAATGGAGATTGAATACCTGCATTAAAAATTCCCATAGTATTTAAATAAAACTAGGAGGCAAAGGAAGGCCTTTGCCAGTGAAAGGTCAGGGAAGATATAGCTGAGACCTCTGAGGAAGACACTTCCATTGCACAGTTTTTCCCATAAATCCAGGAATATTTCTATCATGCAAAAAAATTTACTTCACCAAAATTACTTTAGCTGCTTCAATAGTTTATTTTCCAAATAGAAAGCTGACTCTCAAAAGATACAAAGTAATGCAATTAATCCAAGTTCTCATTATAACAAGTCTTCTGTATTCTCGTGGTTTTCCTTACGTAAATTACTAATTGTCTGTGACCAAACTGGTGTAACAGCACCCATTTCAACAGATAAACCATTTTTGTAATAACAGATAAACAAGTTGACCATCAAGCTTATGATTTCTTGGTTTTTAAATATTTCTACAGTATTGGCTATTGGTCTGACATCACACAAATACTCTGCATTGATGAAAATCTGTGCATGTGAGGATTGTAGATTGTTCCAACCATAGTAGTGTTGCAGAAGTTTTTATTTCTCTAGGTACTGAGGAAGGACAGAAAGGATTTTTTTTTTTTTAATCCTCATCACATGTAGAATCCCCATAACTCCTATGGATTTTTATAGTTCAGGATAAGGAGTAAAGATCAAAGATTAAAAAGAAGGAACTCAGTCTGGAAAAAGTAGTAAAGTACCCAGGAAATTCAGACTTTTTTTTCTGCACAGGTGACTGCTGCATTGGTTTGAGTAAAATCATAGATCTGCCTGCAAAACTGGAAGTTGAAAATACTTACCTACTGGCTTGTAAAACAAGAAGTTAAAGAAACAAACAGTCCAAAAATTTTAAAAATAGTCAGAAACCAAGCTGTACTCTTTGTGTTCAGAATCCTTTTTGGACTATGCCCATGCTTTGTGCTTGCATACATTCATTGCAAATATATTGGTGCTACATTGAGCACAAATAGCATAGAGCAATGAGCTCTGCTACATTGTCATCTTTGTAGGTTTGAGATGGAAATGTAGTCAATTTATGGTTCTTATCTTGTGAGAATTTTTTTACATCACAATCTTATCATTTGGTAAGGATCTTATCAGTATCATCTGGTAATGTTTGAATTGCTGTTTTCCCAAATATTATCCTGTGACCTTTTGGCACACAGAAAAGATAAACAAGTAACTTTGCTTTTATCATGACTTGGATGCAGTATGTTTTGTTCATGGAACATTTTGTTTTATTTGAATGTGTCAAGTATCCTGTTATATTAAATAACTAATGTGCTTTCCTTCCTTTTTAAAATATTACTTATATAAACTTTTTTAAGTATAAAAATTATTTTTCTCTATTGTTAATGGATTAAGCCTTTTTGTACTGGTGTTGAACAAGTTAAATGTCTGTTTAATATGCTTCACCAAAATCTGTCTGTCTTTCCAAAGGGGCATTCCTTCCTTCTCCTTCTACCCACATTCCTTAGAATTCCTCTGTCTTTTTTACCCTTTTCCTCACAAATGAAATCCTCCCAATAGCCACAACCTCACTTGCTGGTTCTCCAATGTTTTACTAATTTTCCTATGACCATTTCTTTGTGATATCCTGATTTACTCATCCTTCCTATCCCATTTTTTACAATCCTAGTCCAATTTGTTATTTTTTTTAAGTGATCCCTTTTTGATTTTTGTGAAATTGAGAGCAACCTGAAACTCATTTACCATTGTGATCAACTGGTGTGAAATCAATTATAAATGAACTCTCTAAACCTCTTATACTGCTTGAAGGTGAGGTCATCTTTGCAGGTAGCTTTCTTGAGGGGAATCAACTCATTTCCATGACAATGAAAGCATTGGAATTTTCACATTTGAAAAGAAAACTCAGTTTGAAATCAAAGGACTGAAAGCAAATAGATTAAACATTGCCTGCAGCAGACAGAATATTTGAATGTTGAAATACATAAATAATCTAATTATCACTTCTGATTACTTTATGAAACAAAGACAATATGAAATTGTTGGAAGTGTCATAGCACCTCTCCATCAAGCAGTTGGAGTGTTTTGATTCCTGTAACAGGGTTTGAAATGATTGTGTTGTGTTTGGAGTGACAGCAGTGCACCCTCAGTGATGTCTGTGGGTTTCTATGGATACCACAGAGAACAGGATTTGTTCCAAACTCTTACCAGAGTGCAGAGGGTCAGTTAGTAAAGGATGCTCCTAGCCAGGTTCACCCTTGATATGACACCCTGGAAGCTGATGGAATTGAGTCATTCATCCCTGTTAAGCATCTGTGCCACAGATCTTTTATCAAAAGACTCTGCTGATGGATTCTGGTCTCCCAAAGTTACTTCTGACTAGTGGCAAATCCTCTGGAAAGATGACAAGTTCAGCATAGTGAGCATGTACCCTTCAGTGCTATCACTTACCAAAATAGGAGACTTTTTTTTTGGACTGCAGATTGGGGGGGGTTGCAGATTTGCCTCTGTCTCAAGAAATCAGTGATTTCAAGCCCTCTTCTAGGTTTCAAAACATTCATAATACTGATACGAAATACCAACACAAACTAATAGAGACTGCTTGCAGTTCTTGCTTGTGATCATATAATTTATTTTTCCACATAATGCACCATCCAAACCAGAACACAGTGGTAAGTGTCCTTTCAGCTCTCCATTGGCTTAAAAAGAAAAACCCAAACTTTAAACCCAATCTTTCTTTATTTTTTTTTTTCAAAAGAATGAAACTTGTTTTATCCAAACCGTTATATCCACAGGGGGAAAAGGGAAAGAAAGGCAAAAAAGGGCCTAAAGGGGAGAAAGGAGAACAGGGTGCTCCTGGATTAGATGCACCTTGCCCATTGGTATGTCTTACTTGTGTATTGAAAGATCAGTCATCTTGCTGTAAACTGATGGAATAAGAAATGAGGGGAGAGGAACAAGCACCAGCTACTGTGTAACCCATTGCCCTTTGTTAACACAGCTTCATCTCAAGTGCAAATTCTGGAGCAGACTTTGTAAACCTCCTAATTGGGGTTAAAGTACCAGACTTAAGAACTTTGGGCTAAGTTTGTAAGGTTTTGATAGTGGGTTTTTTGATTTATTTTTTTTTCTGCAAAATACATTGAAAAGGAACCAAATTTAGAATGTGCCAGAATCAGTGCCCCACAGGTTTAAATCATAAGCAGTCAGCTTGTTCCTCTTGCCTCTCTGTTGTTTTTTGTTCACTCCATTTAAGTCAATACTGAAGGCATTTCCTTGACAGTAACATTGTAAGTTAATCTTTACAAACAGGGATTCCGTGGAGTTAAGGGGGAAAAAGGGGAGCCAGGCCAGCCTGGCCTGGATGGGCTGGATGCCCCTTGCCAATTGGTACAGTATTTCTCTTTCCTACCAACCCTGCATGCAGTTCCTTTGTTTGTAGTCAGCCATTCTCAATGTAAAGTAATGTTTTTCTGAGCTGACTTTACATATTTCACGTAACATGTGCATGTGCATGAACAAACCAGCTGCTTCAAGTGATCATAACCACCATGAGAGAACACACGTTTTTGTTGACACCTTAAGCCTAACTCTCAGCAATTTGCTCCCACATCACCTGGTAATTGATAAGTTTGTGTCCTTCCTCCATTTTCCCTGAGAATCATTGGTTTGTTACTTTCCTCACAAAATACCCATTGCCTCACTCACCCTGAACACAAGTTGTAGAAATCCAGCACAATGTTCACCCCTAATCAAGTCTGATGATTTCTGTCTGGCTCAGTTCCACAGCCTGGCCTGTCCTACTGTAGCTACTCTGCACCCTGGTCTTCCTTCCAAATCCATGACATCTTAGGGGCACGTTTTCACAGTTTGGCCAAAATGAGAGTCACAAACAGAAGGATGTAAATACTGTTTCTAAAAATCAAGGTTTCCAGTAAGCCAAGCTGGAGCTTGGCTTTCAGACCATCCATAAGTAATATTTGTGCTGTCTGGCCTGTTCATCAGAGTATTCAAACACATGTGGAAATAAAAAGCTTACCTGATGTTTGTAAGAATATAACAGTCTGCAGCCCAAACCCTCACTGTCTTTGTTATTTAATGTCCTCTCCTCAATTTAATGGTCTTATCCCTGGAACTTACCCTCCTGGAATACACACAACACTCCCCACCCTATGCTAGCATGAATTCAAGTTCCCACCTATACTAAAATGCTACTTCTTGACCCTCTCCCTTGTACCAATCTGGCAACAATGATTTTTATTTAGTGGTAAAGTAAGTTGGAACTCTTTTCCATGTAAGAAAGAAAACCCCAAATGAATAGTACATACACATTTCCTGAAGACACAAGGAGGATTTTCTTTTTAATTTTTCACAGTAAAATTCAGTCTGCATGTTCTGATATTGTTTGATGGTTAAGCACGGTTCTCTGAGATGAATGTTAAATTTTAGGTTTTGACTATAGCACTTCTATTTGAAGTCAATTGTTTTTTAATTATAAATGCATAGGCCATTAAGATTATTCCATAGTCCATGTTGTTTGCTTCCAATTAATGGTAACCATATCTCATATTTTGTTGGGGATGATCAAGCATGCTTTTGTAATTTAAAAATGTTTCTCTGTCTCTGTATTATCATTTATATCTGAAGATTCACTAACAATCATTGATGGGTCAAAAATATTCTGTTTGTAGATAATTGCTAGAATAAGCTGTTTAGCATGCAGCACTGTCTCTTGTTTAGGCAGCAAGTCATTCACATCAGACCACATGCAAGTATATTAAAAAATACATATTAACCATTATCTTCACATGTAGGTTAACATTAAGTATTGGTATTCTAAATTCTAAGAAATCTGATTTTTTTTTTTCTGCTTATGCGTAGTCTAGTTACATTGTATGTGCTCCTAAGTCTGAGCATATAACTCCCTGAATAAACCCTGGACAGCCATGTAAATTGGAATTAGATCCGTGAAAACCAGTATGACTCTGGTCAAAAGCTGGCCCTGATCTTACTGGATGCGTGGCGATACATGAAGGTAGGGTAGCAACAGAAAAGGAGTGAATCTCACTAACATGAGAAGAAATTAGATGGCCGTACTGTCCAAGCACTGAAATAATCAGTGGTGTCATACTGCCCTGCTCCCACTGCTGATGTTTTCTTCCACTGTGGCACTCAAGGTATGTTCAGGCCTTAAGATTTTGCAGTTTCATTCAAAAACTGACATAGGAAGTGAAAAGATCCTATCCCCATTAAAGTCTTGCTGTCTTGTCAGAGGGTGACCTTTGAATGAGGAGCCTATAAAACATAATACTCTCCAGATAAAAGTGATAGTATTTTTTTTTCCTCACTGATCTTGTACATTCAGATATTATTGTGAATAAAAGAGATTATATTTAAAATAACATGTAACCTGAGCTCTAGTAGCAATAAGAAACTGATAAAAATCCCCATGCATGATAAAGAAGTTCTAATGATCTAGAAAAAAAACAGATCTTTCTGGCAGAGAAGTTCATGTATGTATTTACAGTGTAAATCTTCCTGCCTTTGGCTTTTCCTTCACTTCGAGAATAAGAGACAGAATTAGTTAACTGGTAGCTACTTTTTACACAGAAAATCAAAGCTGCTTCAGCTATTCTAACAGATGTTGATGAAATATCTGTCCTGTCCAACTTACTTATGCTTTTTTGGTTTTTTTTCATCCTTTTACTCCCCTTGAAACAGGGTCCTGACGGATTACCAATGCCTGGCTGTTGGCAAAAGGTAGGATGGGCAGAGCTTTTGCTTTTCAGGAACAGTATGCCCTTAGAACACAGAAATGCCTGTCACAATCATACTGTATCAAGATACGCTTCAGAGCCTCCTAGACAGACATATCCAACAATGCAGGATCAGACTTCTCCATGACAGTTCATGTGATATGTTGTAATTTATGTAGAATAATTCATTGAGGCAGTAGAAATAGTTGGCATTAGTTGGTAATAGTTTCATGAATGGTCCAAGACTTTTCTTTTTTCACATGAAGACTCACACATCCTTTGGGTTCTGCAGATGATCAGTGCTTCCTATTAATTATAAAAGCTCATGAATGTGGCATTTTTGTCAAATATTTCTGTCGATGTATTATTGTATTGGCTTCCTGGGATACCAAGAAGGACAGTGTATCCAGACCTTTTCCATTGCCTTTCTTTTCTATTCTTCAGTAAATCCTCCTGGGTTTTGTGTTTTATGGCAATATTAAATGGCAACATTATTTTAGTAAAGGTTTAACCTAGACAGTGCTTGATTTAAAAACTTAGTGTTCAGAATAATATAGTTGGACGGATACTAGCATATAATATATCAGAAACATGAAGCATAAGTGAAATTCTGGGTGCATTTATCTCTGAAGAATAGTTGGTGCTGAGGAAATAGTTATCCATATTTGCAACTCTGCCTTATCTATGTATTTATAATAGATGCCTCAAATATCTTACTAATTTGATTAATCTGTATCTCTTTTTGTCTCTGCAGTGATGAATCTAACCTTACAAGCATGAAGTTGTGTATATAGTGCTCCACTTTTTTTATTTATAGTTGAGAACTGAAAATTTGATTTTGCAAGTCTGAGATATGTTTACATGTAGCTGCTTCTACTTGTTTGCAACAGTCCATACATACATCTTTTTTTTCACCTACATCTGCAATTAGATGATACAATAACTGCAGGATAAACCTATAATGATTGTCTCTCTAATGGGAGAGATCTCAAAACAATGATCAATAATAGAAATTAATATTTCTGTAAATTCTTATATTTTGGCTTGTGGATGTGCATGGACAATGAGTGCCATGAACTAGTTTACAAGAAATTGTGACCAAATAAGAGCAAAACGCTATGAAATGTACTGTACCAGCTGCTGTTGGAGTTTACTGACTTGGCTTCCATCTTAAACACATCACTGGTTCATGACACCGCATCTGCTCGTATGAACTAAAAGCATGAGTTTGTGTGCCAGACCTGCTTGCTGTGTGATCATGAGTGACTGTTGACGGTGACCTTTGATTCCAGCTTCTGAGTCATTTCCTTTTGTCATCTCAAGGGAGTCACACCATGGCTCATTGCTAAAAAGAGATAAACCAGAGGAGCATAGAAAGAGGCCTTGAATTTTTGGGGAATAGCATTCCAGCTGCAGGTGGATGGCTTCCATTCTTGTGGGATACGTGGCCCCTTTGATCAGAGAGGGTCCCGCCTGTTGATCAGCATCGGTTTGCCTTGCACTGCTCACAGTCGTGAAGACGTTCACGATAGGCCCTGTCGAGTCCTTAATCAAGAGGGACAGAAGTTTGAGGAAGAAACCAGACTTACCTGTGGGTTGTTTGAAAAGGTTACAGAGGTGCTGCAGGGATCATTTGATGGCAGACACCGCCTGAAACCAGATGCTTCTCAACCTCACTCGAGGACGGACAGAGTGTTTATACACTCTGCATATTGTATTTTGGGACTGCTGGAGGAGAAAGCACTCCTGAGGTGGGGATGAACCAGATCATCCTCCAGAGGATGGAGAATGGAACTGGCCAGAGATGTATGTATCATGGTGTGGTTTTCAGGTTATTCACTTTAAATTACACATAACTAGCTGAACTTCTCTACGGGAATTTGGAAGCAATGGTTGGTTTTGTTTCCTTTTCCTGTTTCTGTTACCATGAAGAATGCATTTCAATAATCTATTCAACATTTGTGGTGACGGCATTGAAAAAGTACTTTCAAGCCACATATTCATCTTGTTTCAGTATTAGCAGTTTTTATTTCAGAGTCTTTGAAGCCTCTAAGTCTAGAAAAGAAAGAGTTTATTTTTGTGTTTCACAGAATAATGTATTCATCTTGCTTCTTTTATGTTGTTATGGTGATTTTAGTGGACATTATTGCTCAAAAAATATTGGAGAGAAACAATTCTGTGTGATTATCACTGCACATTTGTCACCACACTCCACTGTTAAATGTGTTGATTTTTCTCCCTTTCTGTTCAGATGGCTTTCTAGAGAAACATTTCCTTCTCCACTTTTTTTCATTGCTAATACGTAATTTGTGCACATTTGTAGTTTTGCCATGAGGTATTTTTTACAATTTTGAGTCTTCATATGGTGCACTGAAGTTAGTTTGAGAGTATAATTTATGAGAAATGGTGCCATATTTGGCAGATGGAAAATCTTTTTATATCACTTCTGTTCCTAATGTATATAGCAGGATCATCCCATTTTTAGGGGCTTTTTTTTGAAGAGTTGTCTTTCCTATGTAGACCAAACCTAAAGTTGAAGAAGACAGCTTGTCTCCATTCATATGAGGGCACCTTATGCCCTTCTTGGAACGCACATTTTTCCTTGCTCCATCAGTTCTAAATCATGTGAAGATGGGGGTCACACTTTTTGTATTGCTTCACAATCTCAGATCGATGGAAATGCCACTACAATGGAATATTTCTCTTTGATGAATCTTTATTTTCATTTTGGTATATTGGAGTCAAACCCAGCTTTTCATTGAGGAAAACCTAGATTTTTAAAGCAAGAGGTCAATTTAGTGGCCTCCATATGTATTTTTACTGCTCAGTTTTATCTTTCCAATAGTAAGAAATAAACAGATATTCACAGATATAGGAAATATGTTTTGCTTTCCCTAAATTTTCAGAGATGCAAGTATCAACCTGTTAGAATAGTGATGATTGCAACAGTGAAAACCTTCAGGATGCACAGACAGAATATAAAACGTTACCAGAGTGTTACAGGAACGATGCCACTGAGGGCCATTCAGGAGCAGGGCCTTACAGTAAGATGAAATGTTTTTTAAAGGTCCTTCAGAGTATTTAGATGCAAAATCAAGTAGGATGTTTTATTATCTGGCTTGATGATTTAGCAACTCCATATTGAGATTGTCCACAAACACAACTCATTTAAGAAATAGCAACAAGATAAATAATGCTGATAAATAATTAGCACCTTCTTTTTCTTTTTTTTTTTTTTTTAAATTTGTGTACTTATATTTTTTAACTGACTCCTAGCATCCATTTCTATATGCACCAAAAAAGCTAGCAGAGCTTTGGTCCATGGTTTTGTCATTCAGGAAATAATTATAGATGCTACTGTTTTAAATGTTAGTCAAAACTCAGCTCTCCTTTAACTCCCTGACACTGAGACCCTACTGAAGAAACACTTTAGCACCTTCATTTGCTTTATTTTCTGTCTTGTAAAATAAGTTCTTTATTAAATTTCCAGCAGGTAGGAATACTTTTTTTCTTAAATAATCTTACTTGGTTTTTTCAGCCTTTGTGTTGTTCAATATCATGAAATGTTCATTCCTTTTAAATAACCATTAGTGAGCATTAGATAAACAATTTAATTTGAAAGGTTAAACTACATGCATAGATTTGGCATTAATACTTGCATCTCAGATTGAATTAAAATGAAACTTAAACATACCTAGAAAGGTAGCATGGTCAGTAGAAGAAAAAAAAAAATTTGGTTTAATATTTCATCAAGAAAAGCACTCTGTGAAGACTTGCAACATGTTTGTTTTGTTCAAGAAGCAACTATTTCTGGTGCTATTATATCTTTTTCCTTTTGATGGCAAAGCTACAGTTTGAACTGCCAGTGTGTCGTATCTTTTAGTGGCATTCCTCCAGATAGGTATGATTTGTTTTGTTTAGTTTGTGACAGGAACAGTAATTCCTCTACCAGTCTTTTCAGTTGTAGAAATGTGTAGTGGTATTAGTCTACACAGTTTCTATATCCCTGACTTTTTCAGGTATGATTAATCCTTGTTTCTTCGAGAGTTTTCAGTATTTGTTTCATACAAAGTTTTGTAATTATCTGTTACTCCAGTTCATTAAAACCCCATTGTGCAGAAGTCCCTGCTACAGAGGCCACAAATCTTTTAAGCACTGTTTGGAATATGTCGGACATACATGGTCCTTGTCTTCATATTCATAAACTAACTATGGGAAAGCTTTCTTTCAGGATGCTTCAGAAAACTTTTTTTTTTTTTTCCCCTGAGGTAAAGCATGAAATGTTAAATGACAGAACAATGTATTTTTGCTTTATATTTTTATTTATTGCTGGTTGTGATGTCATATTCTGATAGTGTAGCAAAGCAGAATGATACTTTTCATCCAGTTGTTTGTATATTCTTTTAGTCTATGGTGTAAGTAGTATGAATGAGTTTCAGAACAATCAAATCCATATATCTGCACATGTGTAAAGTACAGAGTTGGAAAAGGAATAATTCTTAAGGTTGATGTACGATGTGAAAAGTTATCTTTGGCCCCACTGAGCATCGCACCCATGGACGGGGTGCGTGTGACCGCCAGTTCTTGGTTATGCCATGAGAGGGACAAAGCAACCCCAAATGAGATCAGCAGGCCTTTGGTCCTCGTGGGAGGGTGGTGCCTGCAAGGCTGGGGGCTGTGCCAGCATCCTGGAGCCCGTGGGGTGTGGAGGGAGTTGTCCCAGTGGCCGCCCCAGAACTGGGATCACAAACCCGGATCAGCCATGCAAGGTTCCTCCCCTGGCTGTGCCTCCCCAGCCCCAGCAAGACCAGGGGACAGAGGTGAGTCCTCTCCTTGCAAAGCTCTTTGAGACACGCAGGAGGAAGGACCCAGGTGTTTGGCTTTATAACGAGGGGACTATTAGCACCTTCAGCAGTGGGGTTTTGCCTACATCAGGACTACTTCTGTAAGAACTGCAGAGACATTGTCAGCCTGTTAATTGAAAGTGATGAAGAGGTTCAAGGCATGCAGAAGTTGACTCTTTCCTTCAAATTTCCTGATCTCTGCTACTTGACCATCTTGTATTACATTTTTAAATCTCTGTATTTTACCTAATGAGATTCCTATGTTTTCACACTAAAGGCTTACACAAAACACATCTGCAAAGATAGTGGTCAAAAGAAAGTCTAATTTGTAGTCATTGCAAAAATTCTATTTCAGTGACTGGAATTAAAACTTAACACTGATTTTTTTTCTTTTCTGCCATTCATTTTTATGGATGTCAATGTTGCTGTAATGTACAAATGAAGGTTTTATTGCACCCTCTGTTATTAAAGTATTTTACGTGGTGGTTGGATTCATTAAATGCAGTTAGAAACAAGTGCCTGCCACCATAATTTCTGTAAAAGATACTCTCCAGAAAAAATGGAGTTTGTATTTTAAATGGGATTTGGAGTGTTGTTTTTGTTTCATTTTTTTTTAAGTGCATCCAGTTATCAATGCTGCTTGGAAATTGAATTTTCTTTGAAAGCAGGGGGCCTTAACCTGGGACCGTTAGTGTTTTACTTGTTTCTATTTTAAAAATAAATTGTATGAATTTCCCAGATCCCATTGGTACTTGCACACTTCCCTGAAGTATTATGGAGAGTTGGGTTGGTGGAAGAATGTTTTACATATTGTTAACATATATGTGGATATTCTTATATTATTGTACATGTTTGGGAAAATATCACACAACTTTAAAAATGTTGCTAAGATGTATGTATCTGAATTTTTCCTTTGGAAAATATTATATATTTTTATTTGTATTTTTTACTTTTTTAAGTTCATCTATATGTGCCGTTATTTTTGTATTGCAAATGGTCTCATAAATGAGGTAGAAGAGATAAAGATACAAAGAAAAGTAATTTGGCAAGGATTTCAGTGTTTGGGGGGAAAAATACATGGGTCAACATCATATTATCAATACTAGAAATATTTTGAGTGTCTTAGCAGTGTAAATATGTGACAAGACCTCTTTTGATGAGTAGTGTAAAGAATTGCAAGGTTTTAATCACCCATTTTAATTTGTTAATATTTACCACTTTCTTGTGGCCACTGGTCTGGACTTAATTGAACCCGATCAAACAGCATGCTTTTGTTTTTATTATTAAAATTTCTCCTTGTTTTTCAGTTGAATATTGTTTTGTTTTCTTTCAGTTTTGTACTTCGGGTTTTGTTTCTTGCTTGTGAGAAGTTGATCTTCAGAATTATTTTTACACTATTTATGATTTATTTTCATAATGTAAAAAGTGTGTAATTATTAAAATATTAATCCAACCATTGGTGCTGATTTTGAATAGTTATAAAGTTCTTAATGTTGATGCAAAAAACTGTTCTGGTCTGTCTGGATTTGAAAACATATGCTGCTTTGTGCCAGCTTGAAATTTGAAGTCTAGACCAAGTTGTGTCAGACATTCACACAAAAATCAGGGTGTCTGCCACGTGTGCAGTAAGAAAACTCACCTTCCTCTTTGTTTTCTTAATGTGTCTTTCCCCTTCAAAGCAGTGTCTCTTCATTATCTTTTCTAAACAGGCAGCATGGGCTGCGGGCATCCACAAATTATGTAAGGAAGAAGCTTTGCTGCAGAGCTTGGAGCCTTTCCTCACTCTGGGAAAGTTGCAAGGATCTTTGTATTCACCAGAAGTTGAAACTATGGCTTAGGCAAGTTCAGAGGCACCCTGGGATCTAAAGAAATAAAGCTGAAAATCACCAGGCTCCCTCTTCTGTAGTTCTGAAGGTGAAATATAAGCCTGAATTGCTGAGAAATAAAGATGTGCACAGACAGTGTCACAAGGAACAGTGCAAGCTAGAAAATGTGAGGGTCTCTTTTCCACAGATCCAGCTTGTTCAGAAATGATGGAACATAATAATTATTACAAAATGGTATATTTTAAAAGAAAAAAAAACCAAAAATCACTGAGAAGCAGCTGTAATTTCTTGAACACATTATTTGTTTGGATTTTCTAAATCCCAAAATATTTCAGAAACAGAACATTCCATATTGTTTCCCTTTCCATCACCTCAAAAATGCTGTCACTGCAGGTGGAGAGGTTTGGCCTCTCCTATTAACTCTTGCTAATTCCCAGAAATGTCCATTAATCTTATCTAGCTCTGTTTTAGACTATTGGAGGGACTAAAAATACCTTTGCTCCCTTTCCAGGATGAGGTACTTCCAGCTTAACGTGCTGTGTTCAGCCAGGCTGAGCATGTGGCCCCGAGGGCTGCAAGTGCTGCTGTCACCCCAGCTGGGCAGGCCTGACCCAGGGGATGTCCTTGCTTCAGCTGTGCCAATTTTGCCCTTTTCTTGCTTCCATCCTTTTCCTTTCTTCTGCTTTCATAGAGAAATGCAGTTCTGGATGTCCTGCCAAAGCACAAACGTGTGTTCTGAGCTGCTGCCAGAGCCAACACCCCATGGGTTTCCCATTCCATGCTTTGACATCATCCCTGTTATTTTTCACTTCTGTGCTCCCTTTAGATTCTTTAGGACCAAACCTTTAGATGCTTTAGGTAACCAATATGCCTTCACATCCTACTGCACCCATGGGACATGACTTTCCTCTGGCATTGCCTCCTATTCACATGCCTCTTTCATAATTTTGTGATGTGTCAAAGCATGCATACATACAGGACTGCATGTGAAATGCCTGCCAGTTCTGCCTCTTTTTTTTTTTTTTTTTTTTTTTTTTTTTTTTTTTTTTTTTTTTTTTTTTTTTTTTTTTTTTTTTTAATGGAGCTTTAATGAAATACTTAAAGGCTATTATGCAGCTCTGCCTTGTGGACCTACTAAACCTGCTAATCCTGACCCAAATAAAAATTAATGCAACAGAAGTGGCTTCTTATGTCCTCTTCTCACACAGCTTCACCTTGTGGTTCCACTGTAATAACACACAAATGTTTTAAAAAATAACAAACAACTAACTAAGGAGCTGACAAAGCATTTCATGTCCCAGCAAGCAGTAACAACTGCACCCAAATAAATACTAAATGAAAACAAAGGAATGCCAAAACATTTAAGTCATGTTGCTGCAGGCAGTCTTTCTGTCTTCCCAGGGTTACTAATTTGTCTTCTGTTGGCTTCTGTAAATTTCCAGATGGAGGGCATTCTACTTTCCCATCTCCTAGATGTAGTAAAAAAAAAAAAACATTGGTTTGCTGCATATATACATATCTATACATTTATGTACATATATATCTTTATATTAATATCTTCATGTGTCTACTTGAACATAAATGTGTGTGTGTGTATATATATATGACCAGAAGAGTTCAGAAAATCCTATCCACCAACCTCTTCAGAGAGATCTCTGTCTGCTAGTATAGTTGTACTCAAACTGCTTTATTTATCTCCCAGATCAAAGGTGGACATGGCTCCAGCCACATAACCAGGATGCAGGGTTTTTTTCCATGTGCTTACACCAAGACAGAATGTTCAATAGCTAAGAAATATCCTGATTTTTTTTTTTTATGTGCAGGTTACAGCTTGACTGAGTTTCCAAAGTGCCCACACCTAAGTGGAGCTGTCACAAGGTCTTTCTGACATCACCTTTGGCTGCTCCTTCCTGGAGCTGACAAGTACCTGGCAGCTTTTTTCCAGCTTTTAGGATCTCTCTTGTATTTAGTATATTAAAATCATTGTGAGGTAATTGATTCTGGTTGAGATAAAGCTGATAAAAACAAATGTTGATAACACACCCGGTGTTTAACTGACTCGGGGCCCTGCCAGACAGGTCACTGCATGAACTCACAGGCAAGTCCATTCCCCTTCCAGAGCAAATGCCAAGCAGCTGCCTGTCCCTGAGAAGGTGCAGGCAGCTATGGTTCGTACATCTTTAAATTTCTGTACTGAAACAGGTCATCGATGCAGAACAATTTCTACAGCAAATCCATCTGCAATGGGTTTACTTCTCAGGATGTACCAGCAATATATAGTTTTTCAGAGGAACTTCTTCACCGTTGCATAGATAGCCAGAGACACCTTATGTGAATACTCTGGGTAGCTGTTAGAAATATTTTCTCCTTTTCATCCTTCATACAGGAAGCCAGGCTGCTGGTTTCTGGTACCATGCCAGGACAAAGCCCATAAAATCATGGAAGAAATAAAATGTTTATAAAGCAAACAGAGCAGGATGAAGTAAACAGCATGTTTTGGTTTGCATTTTTGGTGTTTTACTAAAACACGAGTATTGTGGAAAAGAAAAAAAAAAAAGAAACTATTTTAATCCTACTATATATCATGCAGAGATAGCTGCCAGTATTTACTGCATAGCCTTATGAGGGCAAGTGGTGCTGCAAAGGCCTGTGTCTGGGTCAGGGTCTCTGCTAATCTTGGGAGACTCCATGCATGAAACTTGGCAGGCTTGCTCCTGCTCATAGTATCAAGAGTGTAAAAGAACTGTGAGCCAAGAGGGAGAGATATTTCCTTGATTGTTAAGACCCTTTCCATGGCTTTAAAGGAAGAGAGAAACAATCTTCCCTTTCTATTTCACCTGCCACTTCAAGCTTTCCTGGTGAGGTTTGCTGTTGCTTCAAGGTTACTAAGCTAGCTGTAAGCAAACCTGCTTTTGCTAAACCTGAAACAAAAGCCCTGATACAAGGCTCTCAGTGCATGCTTCTAAAGAAATACCAACACGATATTTTCTATATACCTTAAATTTGTTTGTGGCCCCGAGTTTCTGCATAAGCAGGACAAGCCAGATCAGCATGAACAGCTGAGAATTTCTGGTGTTGGCATTGGCAGCAGCCCTGGAGGAAGGGACAAAGCTGTGCTCGACACCGACAGAGGGCAGGCACCAGCCCGGTGTGGGAAAACCATTTCTCCTGAAATGCCTTGGGACTCTCAGACTTGGATGCTGCCTGGCCCCAGCACTTCTGTACGTTGCTGGTACACGGGGATTGCTGCTAAATCAGTTTGTAAGGTGTAGTAGAACTTGAACTGCATCTACCCTATGCTAAATGTCATTGCTCAATTTTCAGAGATGCAGGCAGCAAAGAAAAATATTGCAGAGAGCATTCCTGACAGACTCTAGCCTTGGCTCTGTTTGGATGTTAGCAGATCTAAATGCCTGTTCTCTTTTTGAGGACCCGTCAATGAATTTCATCATTGCCTGTACAATACTGCCCTAGCTGATACTTTTGGCAATTCCTATCTTTTTAAGTCTTTCTGCCTGGACAAGGCACTGAAGACAGGCAGCAGCCGTCTCTTGCTGGGATGTAGAGATAGAGCTGCTATGACTTCTACTGCTGTTGGCTGGTGAGGCAAGGTTTCCAATGGAGCAGGAGTATAGAATGTCAAACCAAATTTAACACTGAGAAAGCTCAAGTAAATGACTGGATGGAAAGAAGTGCTGTATAGAGAAGCAGAAAGGTGGCTTGTTGGCAGAAATATAAAAAAAAAGAAAAAGGAAGTGTGTTTCTTCAATATGCCAAATTTGGGATGACTGGCTGGATACTGATCAAGAAAAAGGAAGTATCATCAGCACAGGAAATTGTGTGGCTTTACATATGCTCTCTGAAAACTCTTCCAAACATAGTGCTGCAGGTGGCATAGATGAGCTACAGATGGAGTAGTGGGGCCGTGGGCGAGTGTTCGTGCTGTCTGCTCATGCAGCCTCCTGAAGAGACGGTGCGTGCTTGGCAGGGAGAAGGTAAACCCGAGGTGCTCCACCGGCAGCTTCGCTGTTTTGAAATGTGATGCCTCTTGACAGGAATTCTGTCCTCCTTCCCCCGTCTTATTCTCCCCTCTTTTTCTTGTGGACTTTGCTGTCCAGCGAGATGGTTATTAAGTGTAACCATGAAGAAATGCCACATTTGAGTAAGTCACTTCTTTTTGAGTCTGTGTGATCACAAAGTGATCAAGGACTGGGTATATTTAGATATTGCCTAGACTTAAGAGTGAACCAATGTATTTGAGCACCACGGCTCTTTTCTACATACATATACAAAACCTGGCAAACCATAAATCTGATTTCTTTATAAGAAATGAGGAAATAATGATACTGGCTCTGATAGACGTATACAGATATATATCTCAGCCTACTCTTACAAGTAGATTTTGGGACATAAGAGGCAGAGAAGGACATTGAATAATGACCCTGATTTTGATTAAATTATCCTCTTTGTGTTCCTCACCCCCCTCCCAGATGTTTATGGCAGTGGCAGTGTGGCCACCAGGATGACAGACGACTGGCAGGAATGGCAGGATCACGCGTGGGAGCACCCCCACACACCAAGTCGGTTGTTTGGCGAATTTGTGCTGGTCCGCAGCCCTAGGGAAAAACAAAAAACCAACACAACTCCAAGGCACAGGACTCACCCGCGGCTGGCCCGCCTCAGCTCGGCAGGAAACACGAGTGCCCCCGAAAGGAAACCCCAGGGGAACGGGGAGCGGTCGGGACGGGACGTCCCGTCCTGTCCCGTCCCGCCGGAGAAGGCGGGAGGGAGGGAGGCGGGGAGGAGGGGTTTGGCCGGGGCCGGCGCCGGGATAAGAGGCGGGGAACCCTCCGGCGGCTCGGGCGGACGGTGTTCTCCGGTGCCGTGCCGTGCCGTGCCGTGCCTGTCTGCCGGCGGGATGGAGGAGCTCTATAGCAAGGCGGAGACCCTCGCCCTTCGGAGGAAGCACATCGGGTAGGGGCGGCGGCGGGGCCGGGAGCGGGGCAGAGGGGATGAGGAAGAGGAGGAGGAGGAAGGTCTGTATCTGGTGACAGCGCCCGTCCGGACCTGCCCGGGGGCTGCCAGCGCCGGGCAGCCCCTCCGGCCCCGCGGCGGGACCCTGCGGGGAGGGGGACAAGGACACATACGGGAGCTGTCATCCCCCTGGACTGCCAGGTCTCGGGGCCACCTGGAATTCCCTAGGCGGGCGGAGGGATGCCGTCCTTAGAACACTGCCCGTCAAACGCATCATTGACTTTTCCAACAGATCAAAGCAGGCGGCCAGAATGTGGTACCCAGGTGTACGTCTAAAATGAGACTGCTCAGGGCTGGGATTTTTTTGCGCACGCACCTGCAAAACAGCCGTGTCCGCTGAATGAACCTGTTGCTATTCCTTAAGCTGAGTTTAACTGAGGGACATGCAGGAGGGCTGCCAAAGGCTGTGACCTGAGCAGTAGCCCTGGCTGTGCACGTATCTGATTTCTCTGTATGGCAATGTTAGTTCCTACAGGATGTGCAGCTTTCATAATTTCTTCAGTAAATGTTGCCAAGTGAAAAGTAAGTCCAGGTTGGAAAACCAGATCTATTCTACTGACTGCATCTTAAATATGTTGCATATAGAGAAAGCTTACTAAAGATTCATAACTCACAAAAGATTCCCTAAAGTCATAGCCTCATAAAGTGAGAAAATCAGCTGCTTTTTAGGGGGCAGATCAATAGCAAGGGAGTCCTGCCTGTGCAAGACTTGCAGGATTGAGCAGTGCTGGGCAAACAAAGAAAAACTTTCACAGAATGAACTGACAGGTTAGAGGAAAAAAAAAACTGCAGTCAAGAAATGGCCAGTAATGATGGGCATTGCTTTCAAAGTATAACAGAGAAATAGCTCAAGATGTCAGAGAAGTTCCATGCAAGAGCGCTGGAAGCTGTGAGAAAGAAAGCAAACTACTTCACTATCCAAGACATTTACAAGTTCATAACCTCCATATACCCAACAATAACTCTCAGACTTACCTGGAAACAACTGTGTTTATCCAAGCTCATATAAACACTGCTAAATGTTCAGAAGACTTTCCTTCTGCTCAGTAATATCATTCAATGTAATTACATAGCTGGCACATTCTCCAAGGGGTGGGGAGGAGCAAGAAATAAGAGTGTTTAAAAAGTATTTTGGTTAATTTTATGAGGAGCTTGAGTTCTGCTGGAAGTCTGAGTGATTTAGGTGCTTATAATATGCCTCTTTTAAAGATTTTTATCCAAAGCAGACAGGGTGAGAATGTGAAGGTTTTAGGACCTGCTCAGTACCTCTGAAAATAAAGCCTGCAAGGCATTAGTGTTTTGTTCTTGACTGTAACCTCTATATGCTGCAGTCATCCATTGCGTAATGATTTTTTGGCTATAGTATAAAACAGTACTTAAGAGCTTACTTCAGTCCCAGAGAGTTATTTGGCCATAGATGTCTGTAAGGCATGTAAACAAGCAGACCTACAGCCTAGGAACACAGCAGGACATATAAGGACCTGGAGCAACGTGCAGACGCTGTTCTCCTGTGAAATCAATTGCAGGCAGAGTCAAGCTTTGAAAACACCCTTATTAAAGACCAGCTTCTGTTCTCACTGTGCCTGGGGAAGTGCATGGGTTTTCAACTGTGAGCAAGATCCCCTGCTTGACCAACACCTGAATGACTCACAAGCTTTTTTTCCAGAAGGAGGCAACAGTCTCCAGAGCTGCAAAAAAAAATCAACCTCCTCAACACTCAAGGGAGGGAGAAAAAGTGAAAAAATTAAAATCATGTTATGTTTATTATGTTTTAGGCCTTCCTGCAAAGTTTTCTATGCCAAGGACCCTCTGAAGATAGTCCGTGCCCAGGGCCAATATATGTTTGATGAGAAAGGGGAAAAATACTTAGACTGCATCAACAATGTTGCACATGGTAAGCAGTTTGACTTGTAAGACTGCTTCTATTCCTTAATTTCCACTAAGGATCAGGACACATTTCTGCCAAGTGGTGATGTTCACAGTGCTTCTCTGAACATCCTTGTGTGGTTCAGTAATTCACTGCTTGCTAGTAATAACTAATAATTTTCTTCTTTAGTGGGCCACAGCCATCCATATGTGATAAAGGCTGCAACAAAACAGATGGAACTGCTCAATACAAACTCCCGCTTCCTGCATGACAACCTTGTTCAGTATGCACAGAGACTCACAGCCACCCTGCCTGAGAAACTCTCTGTTTGCTATTTTGTTAACTCTGGGTAGGTCTGATTTGTGGTTTTTTATATGACTATCCGTTATTACTATTTTGCTCCTGTTTGTGACAGACACTCAGGACAGCTTGGTCTAAATCTTATTAAGCAGGACTTAGTAACATGCAACAGAAATATATCCAGCAATGATCAAAACTTTCTTCCTATTTGCAGCCATCATAT